AACTTAAATTCCAAATAAATTTAACATCTATTTTGATTCCGGAAAACTATTTCTGTTTTAATTTTGCAGAACACTGCAAAATCTTTGCAAGCTATGCAAATATCTCGACTTCTGAAACCAGTTTCGAAACTTGGAAATAAACAAAGTTTCACTTGTTTGGAAAAAGCTATTTTGGTTTATATCACTTTCGAGCCAAGAAAACATTTAAGCTAAATTTTATGGAAGATTAAAAATTCCTTTAAAAATTGAAAAAAAAATTGCCTTCCACGTTGCTGAAAAATTCAATTTTATCATTCTCAATTAATTGGCCTGTTTAATTTTTTGGGGGACATCGAAATATTTTTGTCAAATTTTTATTAGTGATTCTCTTTCACTGTGAAACAAGTTTTATTTTTTTATTACTTTACGTGATATTTTACGCTTCCTGTCGGCATACCCGACTGTGACTAAAATAATCTATACCACTGGTCACGTACGGAAACTAAGCGACAATTCAGTTTTTTCCTGCTATTTGCCTCACCTCGTAGGCCGCAGACATCACGAATTTATGCTTTGTGCGATTCGCGGTTCGTTTGGCAGGTGCGTCATTTACGTGCTCAATGTGGGTCATGTCTCACGAGCAATATTATCTCTAGAAAAAAATTCGAGTAAAAAATAGCGGCGCTTTCATCTGTAAATGAGAAAGCTGATATTTTTCCAAAGAACAATTGCAAACAGAATATATCGTGCTGCTTTGGCGAAAAATATGATGCGGAGCGAAATTCCAGTTTTGTTATTTCGACTCAAATGTTGATGTGAAACCGTAGCAACCAGTAAGGATTACGTGACTAAATGTTACTCAAAGAACTTATGCATGGTTTGATAATTTGTAATCTTGTTTATTTCTGGATACAAAGCGCACTCGGCGGTAGACAAAAATATGCGAAAGCAGAATATATAATTAACCCACGGTGAAATAAATAACTTGTCTAATGTAGTAGTGTCACGTCTGATAGTTTTCAGTCGATTTATGATGAAATGCAAACACATTTTCTTGGAATCATAGATATATGAGGAGTATCCTGTAGCTATTTTACATGCAGTTTGCTGAATGCCTGAAAGAAATACTTGGAGTCACAAAAAATAAAAGTTGATATAAATAAACTACCGGTGCTGCTTACACGGGGTGAATGGGTCAAAACCGATTACTAGACAGTAAAAACAAGCACTCACATTGAATAAACCGGATGTTGCAGTCAATCAAATCGTCGAGTACCGCCCGCCAAATTATTCCGGATGCTCATAGGGGAGCCAATCAAATTTGTAATTACTCATATGCGCTGCTCATCGACCAATAGGAGAGCTGTCTGGGAAAACCCTTTTATGATCACGTATTAAACGAGCTAAAACGAACCAGCGAGAGTAAATAAGATCAGTTTGCGATCAAAAACTTGCACAGGCACAAAACCTTGGCCGAAGAGAATTGAACGATACACCTTCGACTCTGTCAAACCCTAAGGAGCAGCAATACTTTGCACATTCTTATAAAGGTAACACTTCAGTTTCTTACAGACAGGTTCACAGTTTTGAACCAGATGCGGTTTTAGTCGACGTTCGTGTACCTAATGAAGTATATTTAATGTTCTTAAAGTGATGTCAGTTTGTTTTGACGCGGGCTTAGTCGGGATATCATGCCAGTTCATAAAAGAGTGAAGAACTAAGAATGGATATCGCCTACACAAAGTGCTCACGATCATCACAAACATCATGTTGATTATTCGCGACATCCGTAACACAATGTAATCACTATGTTTTCAGGTGTGAGAAAATTTCAAAAACGTGCATTCAGAAGTCATGTTTTCTTCTAGTCCGGACGTAAGTTTTGAAAATTGTGATAATTTTGTAGAAATTAAATTATGCTTTTAGTTAGAACACATATCCTTCCTTAGAATTTTCGATACAAACATTGCTGAGGAATCCTTCAAATACAGCTTTAAACCGGTCTGCATAAGACTGGAAAGCGAAATATTTTCGGCATGACTGCAGTATCGAATAAAGTTGTGCTAACTTCGTGTAAAACTGATTGAAATGAAAAAATTATCTATTATACAAAGTCACATTTTTGCCGATAGATCCCTGACACACTCTTAAGGTGATAAAAAGCTTTCTGTTTTTGTTGATATCTAATCGAATAGATTTGAATTCATTGAAATTCGCAATTACGTCACGCATAATAAGTATATTGACTCGGTGATCTATTTATAGACTTTTTAACTTTTCTGTATCATCTGAATTTAACATGAATCTCTCCTTATTTTCCTTTTCTCTACACTAAGTCCTTTGCTTTGTAATTAACTGTAAATAAAGGATCTAGAAATATCTGAAATGACATTTAAACCTTTGTCAAACATAAAAAATGTAACTTACGTCCATCGCGTGACATTTCGTATTGTTCTCATTCAGACACCATAACAAAAGCAAGGAGAGGGGTTGAATTTTTAATAAAATGCACAACGACATTTGTTTTCATCCATAGTCTAGGTAACATATTTTAATATACCGTCTGCTCCTCACTAATTGCCTGTGCAGTCCTCAACGCCACGAATCTTAAGCAACTCTTAAGGTGAACACGATGAAAAAATTACAACGTTAGCAAGTTTGTTTGGTAGATTTGAGATCAGATGTTTCAGCTGTTTTAATTCTACGATTGTCCTCAGACATTTCGTCTTGTGAAATCAGCGGGCAACGTCGTAAACATTTGACTACTTTGTAAAACTTGTGAAAGAGTATTTCCAAACGAGGAGAGGAGTCAATCATTTTTGTCAGTCCACGTTGGAAAATCGATACAGCTAGACCTCTGCAACAGATGCAAGCGCCATCTTTTAATTTTTCGATCGGCGTTGTATTAAGGAGGTTGTTTATAGTTTTCAGACACCGACGTTTTGTGGCGCAATTTGTTTGCCAAAGGCTAATGGAGGTGGGTGAAATATCATTCTTTACTCTATGAATCGAGTAGGTACAGCTTGTAGGCATGCTACCTGCAATTTTTATCGCAAAAATATTCGCGGTAAAATTTAACCGTAGTGTGCGTGTTTCAACGATGGTGTCAGTTTCAGCGTGTAGATGAATGTACACGAGTGCTTGCAACCTCGAGGCGAAACAGTACACTGTGTTTAGCTAATTGAGAAACTGTTTCCATGATGAGTTGCTCGACAAACCTTTTTTTCTTTGAAGGTATGTCTCGCTCTCTTGATTGGGTTTGACAAAAATCTGTATCCAAATTGTGCTTCAACAGTGTTTAAGGTTTCTTAAAATCTTGAACATAGTCATAGATACCAGATGAACCCTTGAAAATATTTGAGCATAAAATCTCAGAAGAAATTTGCAAAATCATCAACATTCTTTCTTGCCGATGGAAATACTTTATCTAGCTTGCGGAAATGTAATGGGTATTGTGTCGTAAAAGTGCCAAATCCTATAAGTAAACTAGAACTCCGCTCTCTCCGTGGCGCTCCGGTTACTAAAGTTCTATAGTACTAACCAACAATATTTTTCAGTTGTGTTTCCAATGGTTCTGATTTTCTTAAAGTCTAAACAGTAAAAGTATTGCCCATGTCGGTGGTGAAAAGATCGATCGCTGCCTGTATATTACATGATGCATTTCTGTCAAAACATTAAGTTGTGCGTGACTCAACTCAGTTTTCTCTGACACGGTGTTTTTATTCAGTGATCAAATCTGTAAGCGTTTCCAAACACACCTTAGGAGCTCGATTTCTTCACTCAGATCTCGTGATCGCAGTCTTTCTGATACAAAAGCTAACGGAAACTAGTTAAAGAGGTGAGGTAAATTTTAAGGAAAACTATTTTGCGGGAACTTTGATCTATCTTTGGGTATCCCAAACAATAGTAAACATTGGGGACCTGATTCGTTAAATAATATTGGCTTGAAAGTTGTGGGACTAATATTTTTTGTTAAGTGCCTAATAATGACATACTTTGTGGGTCTGTGATAGACTGTATAAATAGAAATAGTTAAAGGACAAAAATTATAGATGGTCTGAAAAGTGGCCTTCTTGTAAATGATTGCATAGCTTATATCAATTTGTTTTATCATGAAAATGTTTCAGCGTCTTGGATATTTTGATGATTTCGTTTGTTTCATTTTCAAACACAAATATTACTAAGAAACATCCTCGAGTTAAATTTTCAAGAGCTTCTAGAGATAAAAGGGGACATAAAAGGGGAGTATATTTGCAAAATAAACGTATCAATGATTGTGGGGCCAAATTGTGCCCAAAATACGCACTCATCAAACAAAAACTTTAACTTCAGTACATATAATCCATAAAAATTAGGCAGCATTTAAAAGAAATACAGTATCGATCTTTTCTGGCCTTGCCTAAAACTTTTACTTAGTTTTCTCATTGATCATTAGATAAAAGCTTGCAACAAAAATCTACACACGTTATTATGCTGTAACATGTTAGAGAGTATTCTGCACTCATGGCTTCTACAGGTGTTTTGATCAATTACACCTAAATTCATCGTTGGCATGACTTCTTTGTAACTATATAATTTTGTTTTTGATTCGCTAGATCTGCATGTTTTTGATATGTAGGATATCTTCTGAAAAAATGCTTAAAAACTGTAATGTGCCAGTTTCAAACTTTAGGCCATAGGTGAGCCGTATGATTTTTTCATAGGCGATTGGGCAAATTATCTGTTATTTACGAATTCTTGACAATAAAACATGATCATGTTATTAATGGTATTTATGGTCGTAGTAATGATAATGATAATAATATCAGCACTGCTAATATGGTTTGAAAAGACCTTCCAAAAATCATTGTCGCAAAGGGAACATTTGGCTGTTAACCCAATCTGAGAATAACTGGCCAAGTTTTAAACCCAAAAAAAAAAAAAAATTGAAGTTTGTAAAAAGCATTGGTAGTTTGCACTAAAAGTACTCAGTTGATCCAGGGCTGCCCATTTGTTACAAGTTTCGACTTGTTTCTTCTTCTAGACATTTTCAGACCGTGAACTATTTGAAGCATCCAAAATGATGACTTGTGATGATGAAGTTCCTGGATGTGGATTTCCGTTCAACTTTGAGGACTACTTAAATCTGGATGGTACCCAGGTTGTCCCAGAAATTAATGCCCTTAGCCTGAATGGCTGTCAACCCATGCAGTTAGATGGGGAAGAGAGCAAAAGCAGAAGTGACAGTTTAACTTCGTGGAAGAGCTGCTCCAGCCTGAATGAGTCTGGTTACTCGTCAGATGAGAGTGCGTCCCCAAGGATGGACGAGGCTCTTCCTTCTCCAGGAAACAACTGCCTGGACTTAGACCAGCATACAACTCCTGGTTTAATGGAGTGTTTGGGACCTACAGGTACGTAATTTCATATAATTAATACATTGAATGGTAGCAATAGTGCATTTAAGGGTTGGCTCCTCTTTTTATAATTGTGTTGCATCCATGAGGTATCCCTTTGTGCACTGTTTCCTGGTCGAGTCGGAATCGGTATGTTGATCTTTTTTATTTTTTAAATTTGACGTTCATTTACGATCACTAACAGCAAATTAGCTCGATGCATGTCCAGTTATCAGTCTCATCCGTTGTTCTTCACCCAAGTTCTTTCATCATCATCTCATGATGCATTTCCAAATCAGCGGCGCAACCTAATTCCAGGCTGTAATTCTTACTGAGGTTAAACAATTCCAAGCGTCCGAAAATTGATTTTCCTCTTGCAACACAATGTGGGCAAAAGATAGACTGAGGAAATATCGGCCAATTTTGGACATGTTACCTGTATTTCTAATCCAAAGATGGACTCAGACCACGGCTACAGTAGATTGAAGACTTTGGTATCGGTGCTACCGCTCATTATGCACCTGTTTAAGCATTGTTGGAGCAATGTCCTTTCAGTTTCATAACCCCTTCCCACTTCAAAGTTCTCTTAAATATATTTGAAATTGGTTCTCCAAAAGTTTCCTTGAGTACTCCGGTTCATTTCACCTGTTTTTTTTTCAAATATACAAGAGGGACTGTCTGAATCGCATAAGATGGATAACGTTTGTTAAATTTTTTTTTTCTACTGTGTTGTTATATAATTTGCATCGATTGCAGGTGTCCTGATCAACGCAATTACACATCTTTTTTTCTCTCCGGAATTGAATTCATTTGTTTTCATGTTTGCGTCCAAACTAAGCAGTGTAGTACCTAATATTTTTGGAGTAATTTAACCAGCTATGTTAAAAATACTTACAAAGTTAACACGTCATAGACACTATGGACGAAAACACCCTTCTGTCGGCTCACGTCTGAAGCAATTTGATTGGCCGACCAGATTGTACCCATAATTCAAGCCTATTGTTTGTCGCAAAAGCGTTTGTGGAATGTTCTTCCTGTTTACAACGGCGAGCTCGAAATCTGCAGGCTTTCAAGACAAGCGTAAAGTATCCAGTCAATACAGCTTCATTCTGATGCCCTGAATTCGTTCCTTCCCATCACTGAATAACGAGATGTTTTTTCGCTTGACGGAGATGTGTATTTTCGTCGATTCTTTGCATTTAGTCCCTGTCTTACGCTCCAACGGTCTAAAACTTCCGGTCGAAGTTTTCTTGTCACCAGAAACTGAAGCTACGCAAGTTGTTTGGTCTTGTGTATTTGAAAGATAGTTTGGGTAATCGGAAATAATTTTAAGGTAAGCAAGTTTCCTTTGCTGCTTGATACCTTCGTGTTTTGAAATTCCGCTTAAGATTCCCATTTTGAGAAAGTCTAAATTCATCAATCACCTCTCGACTCTGTCGAAGCCGGGTTTAACAGCTCCGTCTTCGTTTCGTTTCTAAGGTTTAAACCGGGAACACAGATAGCTCTATTTTGCGATCTGATACATGTCGATCCTACTTTAAAGGCTATTTTATTTTACAGGTAAGCTCTTTGCGTGCCTTTTAAATGCTTTTTTAAGAAAGTAGTGTCTAAGATTATGAAGTAACGAGGCTTTACGAACGGAATCACGCGACATCCACTGTGACGCGACTTGATGCTTTCAACATAATTTTAGCATCAATAAAGACATTGTTAAAAAATTACTTTAGAAAATTCAAGGAAGGCCGATTACAACAGCTTCCCCACAAACACGGAAAATTACACTTTCGGGTGTTGTTTGGTTTCACATGATCTCTCCGTTAAGGCGTTCTATATGCAGCCGTACGGGTCACGGGTCATTCTACTGGAACGAAATATATCTTTCAGTTCTTTTTTCGAGAACAAAACCGTGTCTATGACAAGTGATCTTGATTCAAGATAGCAACGTTTCCAAGACAGAAACATCATGGGAACTCCAAATCATTTAGGGTAGATCGTGTTGAGACGATAGCAAAGAGTTTTATGATCATTGTCTCAGAAGCTATTGTTATAAGGCTGGTTTAGCGAAATGAAATTTACCAAATGCGGCCTAGCGAAAGATTTCAATGACAGATAAGTGCACAAGATTTCATCATGCAAGGCTGAAATTTTAATATTTGTTGAATTTAGCTGGGAAACCACCTTAATCTTCGAAAATTGGGCACATAATCGCGTCCTTAGTTTAAAAAAAGAAATGCTCTTGGAGCCTTTAATATGTTAAGATTAAGAATTTCGAAATTCGGAAAAAAGGCTCAAGATCTTCCCGCGAAGATTTCATGAGTCGATTTTTGCCTTCGGCAAGTAAACAAAAATGTCTCGATAGGCGTGTTTAACTTGTTCTTTTTTCAGGGGACATAAATTGGCCACAGCTTAGTTCTGTTCAAATTGGCTCTTTCCGGACAATCGTTCAAGTCGCTCTTTGCTTCATATGTCTTCGGTCAAGGGCCTTTTTTTTTTTCGTTTAAATCTGTGATTTATTGGCTTTACAATTGCCTTGAGATGGGTCATTTCTCTCAAGTTTTCTCTTTAAACTGCATACTTGAGTCACAGTTTTTAATTTTTTCGAATTCTAATGACAAACTTAGGCGGCAAAAATAACTTGAACGCTTAGGGCGACCTTTATCAATCCACATCTAACTTCGGTGTAATGTCAAACTCCGATAGTTTTCTTCACGTTACCTGTTCGCTCATCGATGTGGTCAATCGCTTGAAGTTGCTGGAGGCGGATCTTCTTTAGCTATGTTCCAGTTGATACCAAAACTCCAGCAGTAATTTGCTCACTCACGCTTTGTTACTTCTCCGTCGGGGTAATAAGGCTTGCCTTTGGAAGAGAAGTACTCGGTCAAAAATGCCTCTTTCTCTTTGATTTCTGTACTTCCCACATTATCCTTCTGGATATTATCATGCTCAGCATAGCTTTTGATTCGAAACTGGTTCCATGCTTTCTTTCGTAATAATTTGCCAAACTTTTTCTGAGGTATATGAGGATCAATATATTGTGCCTTCTTGGATTGCCGAAGCTCCTCCGAAATAATTTCCTGTTAGACTGCATTCATGCGCTGAACAACTTAAATTAGGCTTGGAATCCTAAACGATTTCTTCTTTGGGCTCCTTTACTGAAATATCAACCTTGATTTCTAGAACTTTTCATTTTTGGTGCTTGTTCAGCTTTTCTAAGCCTGTTGTGATCTTTGTTGGAACTTCATTGACATCCAGAAAACGCTTTTGAATATTCTTTGTGACCTGCGCTCATTACTTCTCAGAACATTAAACACCTTTTGGATTCTTTCCTTCTTTTTCCTGTCATCCCTTTTTCTTCCTTTTCTTCAGTGATACTTTCATTTTACCCCCTTTCTTTCCCTTTCCTTTCCAGCGTGATTATTTATCAATCCATCCATCCATCCATCCATCCATCCATCCATCCATCTGTTCTATATACATCTTTCTATACCTTTTTTTTTACTGTTCAGCCACTTTCTCATAACAAGACACCCAGTCAGAAAGGTATACCTAATTACTAAAAGATTGTAGTAAACTGCTCATCAGGGGTGGATCCAGGAATTTGTGATTAGGTTGGAGGGGGGGAAGGAGGGGTGTGCAGATTTAGAAAACACAGAAAGTGTATTTTGCACTTGGCCCCATGTGAATTAGAAGCTAAGAAATATTTAGAGACAAGTTCATTTTAAATATGCCACATTTTGTTATAACATGCGATCCTGTATATTAGGCATCTAATAAGAAAAACCCCCAAAGTTCTGATGGGGGGGGGGGGAAGAAGGAGTTTCGGAACCCTTCCCTCCCCCCACTCACCCTCTCCCAGGACCCTGAATTTACTGCTGTTTCTATTTTCTTCTAACCCCGCATTCAACTTAATTATCTGTTGGAATGCTTTTTTCTTCTCAGTCAAGATGTGTCCCAAGTGTTCAACTCGCAACCTGGTGCCCTCGGTACTGATATGTATTTTTCTTTTTCAGAAGATTGGTCCAACTACCCACCATACACATGGACAGCGGCTCAGTTAGAAAGTTTTCTGAAGTCGGTTTGGAAGTCTAATAATATCACTGGGGAGTATGACCTGGATAAGTTGGACCTGACTGGGCCAGAGCTGTGGTGTTCAACAGCAGATGATTTGGAAAAACGTTCAGAATATGGAGGACTCCTGTACGAAGCCCTCACGCAGATTGCGAGTAGTTCCCAATGGGAAAGTAAGTGCTATATTTGTATCAATATAAACAACAAATTTAACATTATCAAAACATTTGAAAATAACTTGTTTTCAACTGAGTTCGTGAACCATCAGTGGAGCAAGCAAACGTTGCTGAAAGAAAAGATGCAAACAGGAATAAGAGAACAAGAAGAAAGAGAGTAAATAAACAGTTTAAAAAAAAGTGAATTAGGAAATAGAAAAGAAAGTGAGAAGGAGAGAACAAAAAGAAGGAAGGAAAAGAGAAAGAAAGAGGGAATGAATGAATAAATAAATAAATAAATGAATGGATTTATGAAAGGAAGAAGAATTAGAGAAAAGCAGTTAGAAGGAAATAATCAAAGAAGATATAGGAAGAAGAGAAAAAACAACGAAAAAAAATTAACTCTTTAACTCCCAGATCAAATGTGTACTTCTCCTTACCATCAACCATACCATTCTCATAATGTTAGTTCAGAGAATTCAGTATTGAATCAACTTATTATCCCCAAATTGATATTTTTCTTTATTCTCATCACTTATCTGGTTGATACTGTATTGATATTGTAAGGAGAAATTCTGTCTTGGTCACTCATGGGGGTTAAAGGGTTAAAGAAAAGAAGCTGTCAGTTGGGCAGGCCATTGAGGACCTTACAAGATAGTACAAGAATCATTACAGGCTAGCAGTGTATGATGTCTAGGGTAGATTGCTTTTCCTATAAAAAAAAGGTTAAAACTTTTTTGTCCCTTTGCAGGTTGCAGTACCTCCTGTGGAGGTAAGTAACATATTTAGTTTAAGTCTTGAAGATTTCCCCAGGGAGGGTTCAGTATAAACTTTTGTGGGATGTGCCTGGTTGGGGTTGAATATGAAGGGTCTCGGCCTCTGTTAGTTCATTCAAGCTCTTCTAGCTTCATGTGGTAAGGGTTTCAGAAAAGTAAACAAAAGAATGATTCCTCCTTTGATAGAAACAAAATGACGGTCAAACCATTAGAGTACCTTGAAACAATGATTTCCTTCATGAGTTACTGAAAAAATCAAAGCCCTGTTATCTGCCAAAGGTTTCTACTGATAGTGTACATGGGTACACCACTCCCCTATCTCAGTCCCCCAGCTTCAAGTTCACTCTCAGAAGTATACATTGTTCGGTGTTAATTAACCAAAGGATAATCTGGTATACCCTAGACAGGAGAGGAAAAATGGAAAGTTAATCGTTGTTATTCTTGTCTGCATTTTTACAGGATGTTACGATCCATCAAGTGATGAGATGTTTAATCTTCTTGCTATGCAAGGTAAAAATCTCTTAATTTAAAGGAAAAATTAACTCCGTGAGAGCTAGACCGTTATTAAGTAGGGGAATTTTCTGTCATGGTGTAAAGCCATGGTCTAAGCTAGTAAAACCAGCAAACAGAGAAACCATGAAGTTTAGTTAAGACTTTTAGGCTCTCAGATCTTGGGATTGAAAAGTTTATGTGAAAGGGTTAGCTGTTTTTCAAATGTTATATGCAACAAAAGCAAAATATCATAATAAATAAAACTTTTCGATTACAGCTGAGGTATTTCATTCATCTAGATTTTTTTTTTTTTTCGGATAACGTCCGATGCTATCCTCGCTTTTCAAGATTCTATTTGTAACGTGTGAAGTAATGATAGTTTTCATTCACCCCACTGCATGAAAGTTAGATACTAACTTGTCAATTATCATGTATCTTACAGATTCCCCTCCCTTTTCCCTTCCGGATGATCTTCCCGTGGAAGGTGAGACCCTATCTCACTTGATTACAGAAAATTTGTTTATAAAATGGTTCAATGGATCTTACCAAAGAATTTTTTCTCCGATTGCGGCAGCTATTGTTTCCAAATCCGCCTTCACTCCATGCCATCTCATTCTTTATTTGATTTGATTTTTTTTTTATTAAATTTTTTTTTTCATTTTTAGAAATCCACCGATTGCTTACACAAAGTGGTAAGTCTCACTCTTTGGTGATATCTATTTTTGAAATAATAATAATAATAAGTTTTGGAAAGCCATAAGCTAAGGGTTTTCCAGAAAACAGATAATTATTTAAAACACGTACCATGCATAGATTCTGTGTAGCATATTGTATGAAAAAGCCGCCATAAGGAAAGCCTTTCTTCGGTTCTTTGTCATTTTCTTCGGTTCTTTGTTATTTTCTTCGGTATTCTTCGGCATTTTTCGGCCGGGTTTCTTCCGTATCCTTCCAACTGCAGTGTCAATTCGCAAAACAACATGCAAAGTTTTATGTAGTACTTCTTCAAATCATATTTCAGTGTACAGATTTGCGACGATAATTGAATAGCCTAATCCCTGACCTATTTGTTTTGGTTTAAAAACTTACTTAAAAGCTTTTTTTCTGGCGTGAGCAGCAGTGGGACTTTAGGCGCGAGTTCGGTTTAGATCGGACGCGTGAAGTGATGCCCTCTCGAGGCACGAAGTACGAAGGCGTGCATTCTCGCACGCGCGCCGCTACCAATAAGACACATATTGAAGGATTAGGACATCCGAGTGGCTGTGTCCGATATTGTAGAATGCTAAATAAGGAAATTATTTCGATTAGATGAAAACCCGTTCGCGGTGAGAAGCGAAATATAAGTTTTGTTACTTCGACCACACTGGAAATTTCATCTTTCAATCAGTCCGCTCAAAATTATTTTTTCAAATTTTTGTCGAGGAGGAACTTGACATTCCTACAAAGTTTTGTAGATCTTGAGATAGCAGATCATGTTTGTCAAACAGAAAATGTTGCTCTTTCGATTCCATTTTTTTTCTTCAAAGGCGTTCTAGACTGGGCTGAAATCACAGAATTTCAAATCTAAAAGGAATCGAACGCTTTTATACATACCGGTCTATTTATATCGCTGCATACGCGAGATTGCTGCATGAGCTAAGGGTTTTGACTGGTCTTGTGGCCGTTTGCTAAAGAAACCCAAAAGATAACGATTCACTATCCAACAAGTCAGGAAATATTTCAAAATATTGCACGTATGCACGGTGACGTCAAACCCGTAGGAAGTGTGCTTGCACGCAGAAGGCGACCTCTCTTTGCCTTACGTCAGAGGGGTCATTTCAATTGAAACTTAAGCGAACATAATTGAAGTGAATAGTAATTCGCTCTTTTTCCGCGATGCAAATTTTTGGCTTTACACGCCGCTTCCGAGTGGCTAATTTCCATGCTTTCGCTCCAGGCTCATGGTAGCCATTCAATGTGCTTAATCAGGCGCGGAAGAAAGCACGAAAACCGGTATTAAACTTAAAAATTGGGCGCTAACACCTGGACGTGAAGGAATGGTAAACTTTGATCAAGTGCCATTAAATGAAGGAAATGAAGAGAGTTTTAACGAAAATGTGCAAATGTTTGGACCAGCAAAAGCCAAAATGAGAGCCTCAGTAACATGGGGGGAATGAGATTAAATTCTTAAAAAATATATTGTACTTTGAACAGCTTCGTGATGAAGAGCAGAACTTGATGGCAACCAGTTTCCGCATAAGTATTTCCGTATACCGACGGCGACTTTACAGCACGTATAATATTGCGCAAAACGCGAGCGAATTCGTTCACGTGATCTTCAGGTCAAGTGAGTTTTGCGTGGGTGTTTTGCGAGTCGCACCCAAATGTCTTGTGATTGTGGAAGTGTAAATTACGAGCTTCGAGACAAAGTATAGAAATTCTTCGAGCGCTGTTCGACGTTCTCGCAAGTTCGATGAATTTCCGAAGGATAATGTTATTTTCAAGGGACTCGTTTGACAATTAACTGGTTCTAGGCCCATAATAAATCTAGCAGCAACAAACAACATTCCTATGTTTCCGCAACGATACACAGGCGCGCAGAGTTGTGCTTTGTTCTTGACTTCCGGGTCTGCTCCATTTCGTGTCAATGTAGCCCTTCTGTTCGTTCACGAATGAACTTTTCTTCACGGTTATGTGTAACATTTGCGAATTCGTCTCGGATTGACCGTCCCCTAACTAGAGAAAGTCGGCTTCTGAATTCAAATTACTCGAGCGAAACAAATTACACTCCTGCTTGTAAATGCAAATAATCTCTCGCTGAATGTCTTGCTACGTAAATAGGCAACGTGAAACTTGAATCTGAATGACTTCAGAACGTTACTTAGGGGGAGGGTGTTCAGAGATACTTTTTTGCACAGCTGTCAAGTATTCTGGATCACTTCAACAAGGCTTATCATAATTTTTCATGTGTGAATGTAAGTTTTGTATTGTCCTCGTGTGGAAGGGATAAATCTCTGATCACAGAAAACGCTACAAAGTAGGAATCGTATTTTCCCACCCCCCCTCCCCCCCAGTGGTAACTTTGTTCAGTAATCCCCAGCATATTTATCGACTGTTGTTCGTGGTTTGCTCGATCCTGCATGTCGAGTCACTAATAAGCAAGCGACCTTTCCGCCAACCATTCGACGCTAGAAATGCCTTATTACTGCTCTTTAAGAATATTTAGCAAGGAGAAAAAGAAGAAACGTCGGCGAAAAGGTAATCAGGTCGAATTGATTCATAATATTTCGTTGGTATTAGCTCGTATGCCTTGCGTGAAACAGCCCCACAATAATTTGAACTTTTATGATATATTTACTGTTAGCCGCCGTTCATTACTGTAGTTTGGTGAAAGTGTTAAAGCTAGAATTCTCGTTTATGCCCAGTTGTTCGGTTAGTCGTCTTTAAGCGACTGCAGAGTACATTTCGGATGGTATTTTGGAAATCGAGACGATGATTCGTGGTGTAATTTTACGCAGCGAAAGCCTCAAGCTTCCTGATCGGTTGAATCTTCTACAGTTGTTGTCTTTTACGCTGGGTCGTTGAATTGGGCTGTAATCGACGAACCCGAAGTCGTTGTCAATCCGTTGTGTTTTTTTGTCATTTCAAGGATTCGTATGAGGATTTGTAGCACGAGTGAAACCAACAAGCTTGTTCGTTTCCGCGCTGGTACGCGCCATATCCACGAAGGAGAAGGAAAGGCGAAGCGTTGTCTATCGCTATTTTTAGCATATTTTGTGAAACCTTTCACATTGTTGAATGATACAGAAGGTCTCATTGTTTCTCAAGGGCTAATAATCTTAAAGGATGAAAGTCTAGCGGCAAACTGGACTACTGAGCGAGGGACCATCTTCATGCGTATCTCTTGCCGCTCATCGTTTGCTTCTCATCATACCTTGAGATCAGTCTCGAAGCGTTTTTTAAACTTGTACCCAACGATTGCGCGTGGTTGCTGTGCATATGTAAGCGTTTAAAGCTGTTAAAATGTCGAAGTTTTCTAAATTGCGATCAATTTTAGCGACTTTTTTCTCACAACGCGAAGAACTGGGTTTTAATTCTGAATGCTTTTCCGCGTTGCGGGGAGCTATGGTTTCCATCCAGTTGGCATTGAAATGAGCTAGCACGCACAATTATTAGGAAAATATAGCTTTGTCCAAGCGATCTTTCGTATGTTCTGACGAACGTTTCTTTCTTTCAGATGAAACCAACGATATGGATGATAGTCATGCTGTGATTGGAAACATAGATGGCGGTGAGTTGGCTTTTGGAAGAAAAATTATTTTGTCACGTAGCGGGTCGCATTGGGTTGAATATTTCCGGGAGCAAAAACAGTTCTCTCGAAGTTTCTTCCGGGAACAGTGTCGACCGCTCTTTGTTTGCTTAAGAGTTATACCTCCTCATTATGGTTAAATGACCTTAGTTAACTGACTTTGCTTGTTTTCGCCGAGGGTATTTTGTAATTTCTTTGTGTTAAAAAACCACAATGCTGTACTTGGCTGGGTGGACGTAATAATTTATATTTGTGCTTGGGATTGTCAACAATTTTCGCTATATGTCTCTCTTTCTTGATTCACATCCTTCGTCACCTCTAAAGAAACGAAGATTCTTTTGTGTTTTTCTATTTTGTGTACATTATAAGTTTTTCCTTCGGTTATCAGTGCTAACTCTTCGAAAATTTCGAAGGAGATTCTTCAAGAGATAAGAACTCATAGAGACTACATGACTTCTATTTGCATAAATTTCGCAATGTCTTAAATTATCAGCGATTTCAAGCAGTTCTGTTGTAGTTTTTGTAGCTTTTGGCCGAAGATATTTCGAATTGATTCAGTAATCTTGATGTTATGGATGGTGTTGTTTGTCAACTAGTTACAGGCGAGCCAAAAGTCGGGTCGCAGTAATACTATAGGCTAAGCAATCAGATAGCTCTCTTCGCCATGCATAAACATTCACCACTTCCTCGTGTGGGCTAAGCTGTTACTAACGTGATGAAAATGGCTCTTTTTACATTCCTTTGTACTCTTTAATACTACAGACATTTTGTTTTGGACGCGATTCGCTTCGTTCTGGCGAGGAACGTTAGAAAATGCGATATTGCATAACTACACAATGCACATATATTAAAATTTGTTGCAACTTGAATATTCAGGGTTCAGCAGAAAAGACAATTTAAGCTGATGAAATATTAAAGCTTCTTTTCAGCTTGAAAGTGCGGTGTCGCAGGCTTAAAGATCTTTACAAAGCAATTAATTAAGGGCTTTTCGCTTGGAAGTCCAAGCAGGTTTTTAACTTAGTTGTTTAGCTTTCAAGCTACTGTAGTGTTGCTAATATTTCCACGTCTCCGATACAAACATTGCACCATCGGTGGTGAATTGCTTTTCACTTGTATGTGGCGTCCTTCCAAGATATTTCTCTCGCAGGCTGACTGTGGCTTCATCTAAGGTTGCAAGGAAGTAACCTTTGTCTGGATCCAATATTGTCATTTCCTTGTGACAATGTAGGGTCGAAAAAGAGCAAAACATGATATTTGAAACCGTTAGGACTGTACATATTCAATTTTGCATCACAAAGAACATCTTTTGTCCATTTGGACTGTGGTGTTATTTGGAGTGTGAAGAGAGTGTTTTGAACAACTTTGGGAGCATACAGTTGCATTTTATGTGAAAAATTTGTGTAACAATAATAATATTGTGATAAGTTTTCCAGGTTTTCATCTGTAAATTCATTCATTTCTTTCTTCCTTTGTGACTTGAAGAATCTTCCAAATTCAACGGTGTCAGATATCAGAAATTGATTGCTAGGTCTTATGATAAAGACTGAAAGTACTCTGGATGAGTTATCAATTTGGCCAATACTTTAATCATAACAATATATTCGCCAAAACAGTGTCAATACAAACACACCACAGTGAACTGCATGTGAGATCTTGAATTGGCATCAGTGCACATGTATAGTAAGCCATGCAGTTTGGCAAAGATTTTAGCTTGTTTCGTCAGCTTAGTGACAGCTGGTTCTAAGTACCATCTGCTTATCAATGAAAGCTTGGCGTTACTAATGTCATGTACCATTTTGAGATGACTTGTTGTGTTCAGTCAATAAACCACCCGTTCAACGAAGATACCCCAAATTATTTGGACAGACAAGTAATATCTTAAAAAAAAAGTGTATAGGCAAACCTATACATACATTCATGTGACCTTTCAAATTTGGTTTGAAAATCCCATAAGTACTTTCTCGTTCTCTTCTTAATTCGGGAAATTATCTTTATGTTTGTGTTATTTTATAATAAAGATTTAAAAGGAAACCCTGGTTACTATGTTCACGTCAGAGCAACGTTTATTACATACGCAAGATTGTTTTAAATCGACTGACCCAATTTGTTTCATCTGTACCTATAGATTGTGTTCCATATTTTTATTTCCTTGAGGAAATGCAAATAACATATAGAAATAATTTTAATTGGAATCCTCTGTAACAATAACTGGGAACAATTTCTATGGTTTGAGAAGCGGTTTTTTCAAAGACTTTTCTTGAATAGAATTTGCCTCAGGTTACTCGATGTGTTGTGGTTCCATCCTTTTAATTGTATGCATTGAAATCTCCATTCTTCAATAAAACGCTTTTTGAAACGACTTTTCTTAGGCAACTTTCAGAACCTCTCTCGATTTTCTGTGTCATCCTTTGAAATGTTAATTTTTAAAAGATTCTTTTCCTCACAAATCTGTCGGTGCGGAAATACCTAAATAAATTTTTCTCTCAACCCACCTGTGATTTGTGTCAGCGTTTGTTTTGTTCCACTTCAATGAACGAAACTTTATTTCATGTTAGAAGCGTGGCAGTGTTAATTATAGCCTCTTGTTTTTCAGATAAATCTAGAACGACAAAAAAAACGCTTTGTTGTGGTAGCAACCAATGCAAAGTTTACAATCATTGACATTGCAGTTTCGAAAAATGCAATTGGACGGCGTTACATTCGACGAATCTCGAATTTCCTTACTTTCCAGTCACAAAAGTCTCAAAATTTTTTCTTGAAGGGGTTCCGACTCCTCAAACTATCGCCTATTCTTCCAACTACCCTTATAGAGTTGTGATTTGAGCTCACAATTCCGTCAGTATAAAGGTTAATAAATGAACCTGTGGATTTTTGTTTATTTTAGATTTTGACAGCAACTCTCAAGAAGTCGCAGGCCACGTGACAAGCTCTGCAAGCCATTCTTTCGGTAAGTTTGTCCTCCACGTTAAAAAAAAAAAAAAAAAAAAAAAAAACAGTCACACGCTCACAAACATGGCCCACAAGTTTCAAGTTTGTGGTGCCAAAAAGTTGATCGAAAATTCACTCTGCATTCCACGAATAGCAGTGTTTGCACCAAGCAGTCGACTTCTTATTTGAAGAACGCTATATCGCTGGATATAACATGAAGAAAGTGTACACGTGCGAGCGAGAAATCGCGCGCGCAAAAGCTCATTATTGTTTATGGTGAAATAATCATGTTTTCTTTCTTTCAGTAGCTCAGAACAACTCTGTTACAGAGGTTGCCGGCTCATTATCCAAGCCACAATCGAGTAAGTATTATCTTATTTTTAATGTTTAATTCTTATCCTGACCTCACCCTACCCCCTCCCCCCACCCACGCGTCTGCTTTGTAGCTTGTAGCTTCTCTGTGCGTTGCGTGACATCACAAATTGGATACGCATTGTTCCTTGTTAATTTTGTTGTTGACAAATACAACACACACGCTACATGGCAATCGGGAACTTAGCTACAAAATTACATGAATCTTCATGAGTCACATCGAACACATATGACTAACTGTGGTTAAATCATGCGACTGTTTATCTAAGTCCAAGGTTAGACCGGAACAAAAACAATGGGCAAGCTTCCAACCGGCAAAGATAAAAAAACCTTCACCTTAATTTACCACAAATGATTTCAGGTTTAAGCTTTTGGGTAAACGGAGACATCTCCTTTTGTTGTCAAGTCCTGCATCAAAATGTACGAACAAGCTCACGAAAATTTGACATGAGTTGAAGTCCACGAGCTCATGAAAGTCGCATGTTTACGTTATCCCGTGATAAGGAACATCTCACAGTGTGATAAAAACAAACAAAGCACGAAACATGCCGTGGCCTTTGATCATAGTGAACTTCGAGTGAATTTGTTTTGATAAAGTCAGTAACAATTGAAGACTTCCGCTGACACTAGTCCTTTTGGACAGGAAGACACCACTAGAGTAATCACGCCACACGTGGTCTAAGTTTGATAAATTTCTCATTTCAGCCCACACTCGTGGCTACTCTGTTGGCAGTTATGCAGCACAACACAACTCTGGTGCCAACGGCTTCTGTGCCTCTCGCCTGTGGCCTCCAAATGGATGTTACCCGCCATGTGTTCCATCCCTTAATGGATTTCCTCCACCGCGTCAACCCCCTCGCTCCTTGCCAGAACTTACCAGGAACAAAGACCTCCCTCCGGTGCCCCCTCTGATCAAATCTCCTGATCTTCCCTCCCCCAGCAGCCCCCCGGACAACTTCCCTAGGTCTTCACTGCAGACACTTTCTTTGGCGGCCAGTTTCTTAGAGAACAGCAGCCCTCTGTTTGATCAGGCATCGCAAACAAAGAAAGCATCTTCTGAGGAACGCACCAGCCGAGGTGCGCGTTATGAAGAGCCCTTCTCCGCTGGCAGCCACGGCGAGAACGGACCCTTACCTCCTGACGTAAAGAAACCTAGACTAGATACTTCGTTTGTCAGTCAAAAGAAGCCACCATCAAACGGGGTCCAACCCCCCATGAAGCCGACACCAGCTGAGTCTCAAGTGCCTTTTCCGGCAAACCTTTCCCCAAAATCGTGCGGGGATAGTGATTATGGAGAAGAACGGGTATCTCCATCACCCCCAACGTCCCCATACCCCAGGGGGTCCCCGTCGCAGAGGGGATGCGACTCTCCTGTAGCACGGAGAAGGAACAGCTCCAGTTCAACAGATTCTGGCACTGAGGACGCCAAAGATGGTGAGTTGATTTATCACAGAGGTTTCTATGTGACTGTGTTGAATGTTCTTCTTTACTCACCTCTATTTTTGTTCTCTCTCCGTAAAAGGAAACCACAGCCGAAGTGACTCTTCCACAAAAAGTTCTACCACAGGTTCGCCAGGTGCAAAACCCCGTGTTGGCCGAAGAAAACGTAAGTTATTCAAAATTTTCTCTTTTTTTTTCATTATATTATTTTTTTAAGGGTACAAAAAAGTTAAAAACAACAAATTTAGCAATATACCACTGTTGACACTTTGTAACGTCTGTTTATAAAATTTCGAATATAGCAGAGGCGAGCCTTTTGATTGGCTAAAAAAATGTTTTGTTCGTGCCTGTTCAAACACTCCTCTGACGTCAAACTGTATTTTGTTGGCTCAATTTCATTAAACCAACAAGAAATGTAGGCTTGTTTACATAGGAGAGTAGCAAATTAACGTTAAGTAAACTTGCAGGTTCTCTCAAAATTTGGCAACGGTAGTGTTAATGTGCGTCATTTCAATAAAATTGTATTTTTATTTCAGAGACAAGATCTCTGCACCTGTGGGAATTTCTTAAAGAGTTATTGGAAAACAAGGATACATGTCCTCGCTACATTACATGGATCGAGCGCGAGGAGGGCATTTTCAGGCTTGTCAACTCAGGAGCCGTTGCTAAGCTGTGGGGTCAACGGAAGAACCGCAGGAACATGAATTACGAAAAGATGAGCCGTGCTTTGCGATATTATTACGAGAGGAAGATTCTAGAACGTGTCCCTGGACAGCGTTTGATCTACAAATTCGCTCCGGATACGATGAAAGAATGTAACTTCAGCTTTATGAAGAAGGACGGTTAAAAAAAAAGTTTGAAACGTTTTTGTACAAGTAGTGTAGCTTTATCAATATGAATTTGTGATTTTTCAAACTTGTTTATTTGTTTGCGAATCTGTGACATCCCATCAGACCCCCGGAAAAAATATTTGAGAGAAAGCGTTGAATGTACAGAAATCTCGTCAATGAATGATGTTGGTGAATCCTATCACTTTCCCCAAAGTTTAACTTAAAAATTCCTCAATTTTTCAATTTCAAACACAACCTGTACAAAAATACACAAACACGGTACAACCGTATTTTAGTCTTGTTTCAATTTGTAGCGTCATGTCGAGGCACTATCTTCGTTTAGGGGGAAGATCCAATCTGTTGGAGGGGATGTTACAGAAACGCGTATAACTTCCCAAAAATTAATTATGAAGTGAAATTCAGTCGCTTTGTCGGCTTGCACGAGAGGATCTTAGCGACTGAGAGTTCATTTTCCTCTCCAATTTAAAGAATCAAACTAGGAACCTTTTATAAAGAAAACGAACTGATAGGTGAAGGTTAGCGGACATTTTCGTGTTAAAGGGCAAAATACAGCGCACCTCTGATGCGTTGTCTAAAATTTCAACACTTGAAAGTCCACAAGGACTGGAGAATCGACTATTTTTTGTCTCGTTGTGTTTGTAAAAGTTGTGCTTTTGCTGCAAACCTTCGTGTAAATAGAACTATTACAATAACTTACTACGTATTTGCATTTCACTCGGTACTACATTCGAATTCAGCATTTTGGAACAAAGTACAAAACTGTCCCGGAGGCGGTGGATTTCGAAGGGTAAAGATTTGGTTTCCTTTCATTTTTTGTGGCAATTTTTCCAGGTTTTTTCACATTTATTAGTGAATTATAGCGAGAGAAAGTTTGTTATATAGTTAGTTGACTCGTTTGCTAATGTCAGTGTGCTAGCAGCTTTCATCGTTTTGGCAAAACGATAATAGATTGAGTTCAAAAAGGAACACGATCCATTTATGATTGGTTTGAGTACTTTAGACGAGCTTCATTACAGATGGGTCATTCATGGTCACCATTCATTAAAAGGACAAATGAACTAAAATATAATTTACTATTTTCATTCACGTTTAAAAACCATTTTCTCTTCGTGTTTTGAATCTTTGAAAAAATTTCTGTGTTGTCTTTGACTGCATCACTAGGGAAACCGAATTGAATTTTAGGCAATACCGTAATGTGGCTCGTTTGAAGACGGTAAATGAAAGCTGACATCTTCGAGTAATCTCTCCCAACAACCGTTATTTGAGTTGTTGCGTGACGTAAAGTATAGTGTTGTGATAGACTCTTCGAAACAGGCCGTGATGGATTGATGTGTCAGAAGTGTCAAGTAGAAAATGGAGGAGATTCGAATGGTTTCGTGTGTATAAAATGACCATTTAATAATCGCAATATTTTAGTTTGATACAAGTAGATAAGTTTCATGCATGAGTTAAGAACACTGTAGCTTAAATCACTGTACAGTTACCACTGTTTCTTGTGAGTGATGGACAATTAGTTTTCACGATAAATAACAATTTAGCTTGATTAGATATTTTTTGTATGAAAAAGAAAGAAAAAACTGTTTGTAATAAACATTACATTATCAAAATGTTCTGTTGTCCTCATTTTTAAACCTTGGTCTCTAGTGTTACCCAATTTGCATATATATATATTTTTAGATACTAAATTTATTTTAAAAAAAGTGGAATAAAATTTCTTTGATTTATCAATATTAAGAATAAATTTATATAAACACCTGTCTTAAAGAGGAAATAATTCTATTTCCACCATTCCTTTCCTGTAAACTCTTGATAGTTGCAATAATTCTAAAAAAGTTTATCTTTGCTTTCACATCATTACTATAGAGCATTGCACCAAAATAACAACTGTTTTGACTGCATAAAAAATATCACGATTAAAAGATCAGGTGGGGTAGGTAAAAAGGGATCTATTTCCTAACTTTCATAGCTGCAGTGAGGCAGCACTGGAAACTAACAGTCTGGCCTGCAGACATATCCTGATAAAACCTTGCTCAGCCTCTTTAATTACACCTTCACCAAACCCTTCACCTCTTAAGATCTTGTTTTAAATGCTCCTTCCATTTCATTCCCTTGTAGAACAGTTGAGATTATCTTGTGTCAATGCCCTATTAGAATAACTCTTGGCTTATTTTCTGCTAATTCCTTAACCATTTAACTCCCATGAGTGACCGAGACAGAACTTCTCCTTACAATATCAATACAATATCAACCAGATAAGTGATGAGAATAGAGAAAATATCAATTTGGGGATAATTAGTTGATTCAATGTTAAATTCTCTGAACTAACATCATAAGAATCGTATGGTTGATGTTAAGGAGAATTACAAATATGAGCTGGGAGTTAAAGGGTTAAACCTCTTCTGGGTAATATACAAACAATGTAAGGAGAAATTAGCTGTTACTCACCTATGGAAGTGATAAAATTAAGCAAAGGTACTGGAAAGGAGATACTCTGATTTGTTGAAATCTGGAGAGAGAGCAGGTCTCTATCAGACTTCTTCCCAGTCCTCTATCCAATAATTTTTTACAGAAGAATAACTTCACACAGGAACTGCCCACAACATCACCATTTTCAAAAAGATTCAAACAGAAAGCTTTAATAATAGCTAAGCAAAGGAATTGCATTCTGTTTAAAGGTGATTTCTAAATTCCTTGTGTATATTTTAGAATGAATGAGATCAAAAATAATCTGCAGCACTTGCCAAGCAAGTTAAAATAATACACAACATGTACATGCCTCTAATAATTTCTAGTCAATAAAGGCTGTACCTAAAGTGCCTTCTATTTTTTTAATATATTAAGATTTTTTCTTCTTTCTCTCTTTGTTGATTTGTTTTTATTTTCTGATTATTTTTTTTATATTATAAAAAGAGCTCTCAAGTTGATTTGCTGGTGGAGTGAAACACCACAGGCAGCACCCACCTTAGGAGTTAAGGGGGCATACTCTGAAAAAAGGAAGCAACCAACATTTGCATTCCTTTATTTAGAGCAAGATTTCCACTGTTGGAAAGTGTTTGAAGCAAATACAAAGAGATCATTAATTTTATATCTACTTAACTAAGGCAGCAGTTTGCTGTTCAAAAATCAACAATTAAAATCAGAAACCTTAATTGTCTGAGAACTAATAGTTCTGGATTAGTTTGAGTAGGTCTCACTCATTGCATGACACTTGAGAGCCCTGACTACAGTACCAGACCTAGCAAATATCCCAGACTAGTAGTGTTTCTTCTTTTCTTCAAGAGAGTTGGCTGAGCCATTTGTTACAATTTCTCCATTTGCTTCAATTGGTTTTTGCTTCTTAAACTTCTTAGCAAAATAAGACTGAACATAGAAATTTGAAAAGAGGATAAGGAAAGAGATCATGTAACCAATCAAGGCATACTGCATCCACAGGGGGTAGTCACACTTGGCGCGAAGTGACACAACACCATGACACAGAAGAATACAGAACTGGATCTAAACACCAGAAAACAAGAACTGAAAATCAGTGGAAATATCAAAATTTAATTAATAAATTATAGTCAGGGCTTTCGATAAAAGCTTAATACTGACAGTTTACCAACACCTGTAAGATGTACCTCTCATTACCATCTGTTTTGGAACTGGTCATTATTCATGTATAGGGAAAAGGAGATAAAAATAAGGGGGGGATTGATTGACAGATTGGCAAGAGGGGGGTGGCTAAATTAATTTTGTTTAGAAATTCTGGGGGTCATTAGTTTGAAGTATATTTAAGGGTGGTCCATTATCCAAGTTGGGTGTTACGCAAAGTAAGCATCTTATGGTTGTATGTGACATGAAGTTTAATAATTACTAGGCATATAAGGGGGGATACTGAAGGAGATGAGAGGGTCATCATAAATATTGAATAAAGAGGGAGGGGTCACTTGCTATTTGCATGGCCTGGAAGGAGGGGGGGGGGGGAATTATAGAAATTTTGATCTTTCCAACAAATTTTACCCTCCTTCCCTCTACATAAGTAATGACCTATTCCTCAGCAAGCGAGCAAGCATTTGGGTTTTTCCCTTGATGCACAGTTGGCTTTTAGACCAGCAACCCCTTAAACCTTTCACTCCCACATGCCATTACTTATTCTGTTAGTTTGGAGAATTGGGTATTGGATCAATTAGTGATCCCCTTATGGATACTTTTCTTTGTTCTCAGTTATCTGCTTGATATTGTAATGATAAATCCCGAGGAGAAATTCTATCGTGGTCACTCATGGCGGTTAAAGATTTTATAGGAGTTATTGAAATCCCTGTCTACAGCATAATTATGATTCTACATGGATTACAACAAGTTACAGAGGCCTGAATATCAGGCTTCTATTGCAAGACTCAACAGACAACGCTGCAAGATTGCATTCTAAGTTCAACTTAAAATGAGACAAAACAAAAACTCAACAAAATACAAGCTGATATTAACTATAGAAGGGTGTTACACAGTCAATAAATCAAATAAGTATAAATGAATAAAAAGTATAAATGAATAAAATGTATAAATGAATTAAATAAATAAGTATGATGGAAAAAAGACTCTCACCAATTGAAACTGTGTCAAATGCTTTTTCCACCAAAGGTATTTCCGCAGACTTGGAATAGCTGACATCCCATAGTATGTGTACATGAATACATGCACCAGAGAATTAATCATTGCACTAAGAAAGGCTGTATATTGGGGAAAAAAACCAGAATAATTACTGTTTTTTTAAGGGCAACTGTGTAATCCCTCTTTATTTTTATAAAAAATGATGCAATATTTTGTTAAACCATTGGGAATATAAAGCTGCCTTGTCTTATCTTTTTTAAACCCTAAAATCAGTATGCATCTTCTCCATACTGTTCTCTATACATTTCCTGATGTGCTGGCAAGGAGAATTTGTTTAACAATCAAGAGCTTCTTCAGTTGATTATCATTTCCTTTATTCTCATGACCTTAATGTTTGATTCAGGGATGAAACTTGACAAGAATAACCCATCTCATATTTTGGCTTGTGTCTGATGCTAAAAATGGGGGATATCCAGTGTTATTTCCTGATGATATTCCCCAATGGTCAAACCTTTCATTCGAAAGTTGATTCAAGATGGAAAACAATTTTCTTTTACTATAAAACTAGAGAAAACTTTTTTGTTCATGTAGTCACTTTAAAAAGTGTACATACTCCTGAATTTAGAAGTCTCCTGCAGCATGCTATTAGTAAACATTTTGTAACATGTGCTGTATAAACTATTTGAAGGACAATAAACACAACAGCTTTTATTAATGGACAATTCATATGATATTTGTCTAGCTGGGACCAAAACTATTTTCACTTCAGAACAGATGATGTCTGCTAGGAAATAACCCAGCATATCATCAATGATGCCAAATGGCAGCTATTCTTATTGAACTTTTCCCAAAAATATTGTAATATTGTGTACCAAATCAACAGAACTAGCATGGCATAATGGTGAGAGCACTCACCTCTCACCATTGTGTCCCAGTTTTGATTTCCCTTGACCAAAGGTCCTTTTCTCAAAAGTACCCCTAACTTAACAAGCTCAAAGCCACACTTTAAAATCAAAATTTAAAGGATGGAGAAGCTGGTTCTGGCATCCTAGCCTGTTCATTTTTTTTATCTTTAGCTTATATTAATTTTTTTCTTGTATAATTTTCAAAATTTTTGAAATTGCCACCTTGAATGAAAACAGAGCAGCTTTACTGGCCTAACGTTACCAGTATGTTTGAGAAACAGGCCTCTGGTGCCACATGTGGGTTGAGTTTGTAATTTGTTCTCATCCTTGCTTAGAGGGTTTACTCTCGACTGGTTCCTTCAGTTTTCCTCTCTCCAAAGAACCAACATTTCAAATTCTAATTCAACCTGGAAACAGTGGACAAGAAGAGCCACCTTGTGGAATGTCCACTGATGAATTCCATTCACATTCCCCTCCCATTCTTACCAACACAATGAGATGCAACTTACACTGCCCACCAGCAACCCATTTGATTCCAATCCACCATAGACAAACCATTGTTGTGTGGTGGTACACATGAAGAAAAGATACTTGGTTGTTCTTCTTACGAAGGAGGAAAAACATCTGCCAAAACAATAAACCACAATTAGTCCTGATCTGAAGAGTGTTGATGCAAAGACACAATATTTGTTTGAACAGTAACAAATTTTCCAAATAGACTTAATAACAAGATCTATTTTTTGTCTTTTAAAATCAGTGAAAACTGTCATTTTGAGTCTTTACAGAATGCCACTTTCCAGAAAAAACTTAAAATTGAAGCAGAAAATATTGGCATAAAAGAACAAAATTCTAGGAAATATTGGCCCCTTCACAGCCTGCATGATCACGCAGTTTGAATACTGTGTGCCTACATGACATACTCATTATGTCCAAAGTTAGAGAGTTACAGTCAAATCTCTAGCACTGCATGGTGATGTAATATAACATGGCCTCTAAAACTCAAAACAAGTTTAAACTCTAGTAGCAGAGGCTTTAGGCAAACAATTATGAACAAAAATCAGCCATAATAATTTACAATGACATTTTTATGATATGATCATTATTTTCAAATTCTAAAAGTCAAATCACTGCAAGTTCTTTACATACATGAACTGAGAATGCATGTGAAAGTCTTGTTGCATGTGATTAAAAACTCTACAATGTGAAATGTAGAGAGTGTTAATGAAGAACTCAATCGTTTTGAGTCAGATTGAGTGTTCTGTTTGGGTTTCTTTTCTTGAATGAAGAGCATATAATAAATTGAACATTCAAATTTCCCACAACATTTCTTAAGAATGGTAAATTATTTGTCATGCACAATCCTACAAAGAGCCCTTAACCCTTTAATCCCTGAAAGTGACTAGGATCTAATTTCTCCTTTCAATATCATCCCTGAATCAAACATTAAGGTCATGAGAATAAAGGAAATGATAATCAACTGAAGAACCTCTTGATTGTTAAACAAATTCTCCTTGCCAGCACATTAGGAAATGTAGAGAGAACAGTATGGGGAAGATGCATACTGATTTCAGGGTTTAAAAGGTTAAAGAGCATCAACTTACTGTATCGAAAAGCTCCACAATTTTGGAGAAATAGAACCACCAAAGAACTGAGGCAATCTTCAAAGAAAAATGAATGAGTTAGTATTAACCCATAAGAAGTAACAAAGGGGAATTTAGTATCATCAACTGAGTTGATAACATAAATTGGCCACTATTAAGAGCTTCAAAGCTGATACTTGAATCGTTAGCTCTTCATCAGAGCAAAGTGCTAAAGCGCTGAGCAAGTGCTAGCACTCAAAATGTCAGCTTTGAAACTCTTAACCCTTTAACCCTCAGAAGTGATTAACATGAAACTTCTCCCTATAATATCCATACATAAATCAGCAAACAAGTAATGAGAACATTCAAACTTATCAGGTAGAAGCTGCTATCTTGATCTAGCACCAAGTTCTCATAACTAATTTACAAGGAAATGTATAGCAGCTAGAGGGGAGAATTAACAATCAGATGTTAGGAGTTGAAGGGTTAACAGTGACTAATCTATGCTATCAATTTATATGATAATGCCAAATTCCCTTGTAATACTTTCCCATTGACACAGCACCACAGTTTCTTCAGAGACTCACCCCCTTCATTCAAGAATTATACATTTCCTTGTAACTAAAAGTTAGTTATGAGGATTTTATGTTAGATCAAGATCTATCTGATAAGTTTGAGTATTCTCAATACCTGTTTGCTAGATAGTGGATGAATATTGTAGGGAGAAGTTACTTGTTTATCACTTCTGGGAGCTTAGAGGTTAACCTGTACCAATTTACAAGGTGGAGAGAGGAGCCAGCTACGTCTCCCAGGAGTCCAGCTCATTAACCATTAAGCCACAATTTTTCTGGCAAAAGTTAATTAAAATGTAAAGTTGCTTCTAGGTGGAGTTTGATTTTTTTCCTCATCCTATCTCCTTTGGTTAGTCTTTTCAATCTAGGGTGGAGTCTGCTCTAAATCATCACATTTTATGCAAAAATTGGTAGAGGTGATCAATTGTTTGTTTCCAAAAAGAATCTGGAATAACATACCCTCATCTCCTTTGGCTTATAAGTCATTGAGAGCTCTTGACAGGAATAACTGTAACCAGCATCTGTAGTTGCAACCAAGACCTGCAGAAAAACGAATTGTATGAATTCAATATTGTTACTTTTAAATAAAAAAATTCCAAAATTTCAAAATGAGAATTATATACTAATTTTGTATACTTGTTCTATACCCTACAATGCTATCACATTGAATTTGTCTTTTTCCTTTTTTTCTGTAACAACATTACTGCAAGTAGGAATATATTCAAGATAAAATTATATGATTTCTGGGACATTAAAGTATGGTGCAACTAAGATTTTATTTGCCCTGTTACCTCAACAAAGATGTATAAATTCAGAAGTGTTAAAGCAGCATTGTATATTACTAAGCAGCTTGTGAGTTGAAAAGCCTCTCTGGACCTCATAATCTTTGGGAGCAGCCAAACAAGAAGCCAGTAAACTAAAACTGCTATAACAGGTGACCATATGGATGGTACAAAGAGCCATTTCTTAGTTCTTGGATCTGAAAAAATAGGAAGAAAACCTGAAATAAGATGACAGAGTTTGCTTTGGGCGTCATCTGGTTACCTTGACAACCTTGCAGGTGATCATAAGGAGCTTTGGCCCTGAAAAGATTTGCAGCATGCATTCTACGATGTTGAGAATTGCATTAACACTTGCAGTTGGTAGGTGTCTACATGGTTACTTAAACCTGTTGATTATAAGTTAGAGGTTCACTTAACAATGAATACTTCACCTTCGTGCAAATTACAATAAAGAAGTACAATAAATATTGGATCGGAATCCCTTGGTGCAATCTCATTATGTAGGCCTGAGTCTTTGATTGATTGGCTGACCTTTCTAAATTTATGGGATCCAATCTCGACCCCAAAATGCACTGGTATGTGCTGAAGAAAAGTTAATGTGGAATCAGTCCAAATGTGGTAGAGTATACCTGAGGGAAATTTTTAATCTCTGCCATACCTTCTTGGGTAGCGTATACTTTAAGGTTACTTTTAATCTCTTCTATACCCTCTTGGGTAGTGTATACCTGAGGGTTATTTTTAATTGCTTTCATACCCTCTTGGGTAGTGTATACCTGAGGGTTATTTTAATCTCCTCCATGTGCTCTTGGGTATTGTATTCCTGAGGGTTAATTTTAATCCCTTCTTTACCCTCTTGGGTAGTGTATACCTGAGGGTTGTTTTTAATTGCTTTTATACCCTCTTGGGTAATGTATACTTGAGGGTTATTTTTAATCCCTTCTTTACCCTCTTGGGTAGTGTATACCTGAGGGTTGTTTTTAATTGCTTTTATACCCTCTTGGGTAATGTATACCTGAGGGTTATTTTTAATCCCTTCTTTACCCTCTTGGGTAGTGTATACCTGAGGGTTATTTTTAATCGCTTTTATACCCTCTTGGGTAGTGTATACCTGAGGGTTATTTTCAATCTCTTCTAGACCCTCTTGGGTAGTGTAGACCTGAGGGTTATTTTTAATCTCTTCTATACCCACTTGGGTAGTGTATACCTGTGGGTTATTTTCAATCTCTTCTAGACCCTCTTGGGTAGTGTATACCTGAGGGTTATTTTCAATCTCTTCTAGACCCTTGGGTAGTGTATACCTGAGGGTTACTTTTAATCTCTTCTATACCCTCTTGGGTAGTGTATACCTGAGGGTTATTTTTAATCTCCTCCATACCCTCTTGGATAGTGTATACCTGAGGGTTATTTTTAATCGCTAATTTATACCCTCTTGGGTAGTGTATACCTGAGGGTTATTTTTAATCTCTTCTATACCCTCTTGGGTAGTGTATACCTGAGGGTTATTTTTAATCTCTTCTTTACCCTCTTGGGTAGTGTATACCTGAGGGTTGTTTTTAATTGCTTTTATACCCTCTTGGGTAATGTATACCTGAGGGTTATTTTTAATCCCTTCTTTACCCTCTTGGGTAGTGTATACCTGAGGGTTATTTTTAATCGCTTTTATACCCTCTTGGGTAGTGTATACCTGAGGGTTATTTTCAATCTCTTCTAGACCCTCTTGGGTAGTGTAGACCTGAGGGTTATTTTTAATCACTTTAATACCCTCTTGGGCAGTGTATACCTGAGGGTTATTTTTAATCTCTTCTATACCCACTTGGGTAGTGTATACCTGTGGGTTATTTTCAATCTCTTCTAGACCCTCTTGGGTAGTGTATACCTGAGGGTTATTTTTAATCGCTAATTTATACCCTCTTGGGTAGTGTATACCTGAGGGTTATTTTTAATCGCTTTTATACCTTCTTGGGTAGTGTATACCTGAGGGTAATTTTTAATCTCTTCTATCCCCTCTTGGGTAGTGTATACTTGAGGGTTATTTGTTTATAATCAAGCCAAAATAAATAAAATAAACATGAACTGGCTTCAGCAGAAAATCTGCAAGAATCATTTCAAAAATAACATTAGGCACTTGAAGAATTACTGTAACTCTATAACTTAACTTACCGCTAATAGCATCGACCCTTGCATAAAATTCTTGCAGCTCCGTGACCAAGTGAGAGAGCGTGTGTGCAAGCCTAGGATCGGCAGTAAAATCAGTTCTTGAAAAAAAGCGGTCTCATGAATGAAACAACTGGGTAGAGAATGCAGTGGGTGAAAAGAAAAAAAAAAGTCAAAGGTTTGGGTTGTTAATTACTAGATGTAACATCGCAATCATTATTTACACGCGGACTGTTTAAACAAACAAATGCAGCCCTTTTTTGTCTCAACACTAAGCCCAAAACAAACTCTAATTATTACTGACCTGTAGATGGAATTCATTATGGCTGAAAGAGATCAAATCCGAGCAAGATGAATTTGGTTTTCTTTTTTTTCCTTTCGGGGACAGAGTCTGAAAGCAGCGACATAAATGCAAAATGAAATCGCGTTGGTTGAACTGGAATAAAGTACGCACCGAAAAAAAAAAAAAAAATTGCCCCGCTAGAAATGATTTCATGATATGTAAGTTGTCATACACGTGCCGCTCGAGGGCATCCAAAGTTCATTCAAGCAAGTAAAAAATAGGACCGTTCAACTTCGTTAACTCTGATGTGAACTAGAATCTAAAAGAATGCAAACAAGAGCCCACCAGCTACAAATTCCAAGGTGTTATGCGTTGTGAAATCCCAGAGTCACGACTGCTTGCAGCCAAATTTGGTGCAAAATCTCGGCAGGAATTCGAATTTCCGGGGAGACATTGGAAGCCAGTCCATTCGATCAAGCAGGCCCGGAGGGCTTCTCGTGAATCTGTCGCGCCACTGTACATTAACCAATCAGAGTGAGGCGATTATGCTTATTAAGCCGAGCTCTACCAGCCATTTGTTATTAGCAGAAAACCTGCTCTCTCTTGCCTATCACTCACATAATTTTCCGAGAGGTGGTGGAGAGGTAGCCTCCAGAATATATTTTCAACCCGAAGCTGCATAGAGGTAAGCTGAGGTTTCATTAGTAGAAATAGGGGCTGAAGAAGTGTTTAGAGGCTTCTGGAATTGGATAGACGTTCCTATTAACTTGGTACCCTTTCGTGTAATTTCATACTTATCGTCTCGCCTGATTTCCGTTTACATGGCTGTAGAGAACTACGCATCATGCACAGTAAACGGAGCTAATTTTCTGTTCAAAGTATTAAGCGCGCCGCGTTCGGTTAAAAATTTCCTTTAACGAATATCCATCCATGAGGAGCACGCATGGAATGGTGTTACGCAACTGTAATTAAGGTCATTCAAGGTTACACTTCTGTTCATCGCTTTCGTGTCCCGGCCTTGTGATTTCGTTATGTAAAATCACTTGAATGCGATCTCCTCAGCCGTTTCAATTTCGCATTTCTGTGGTCACTGTTTTACAAAATTTGACCGGAAGTCTAGCAATCGAGAGTAATAAAGTAAGTGATTTGACTCTTCAATTGAATGTAAACAGTAGAGCGACTGTTAGAACAGACGTACATGTAGAAGAGAACTAACTTTATTTTTAAGTAGAATCAGTCTCTTCCAGCAGATCCTTACAAATTTGTGTATTACATGAGCCTTTTTAACGGTTGACGCTCAAAAACATGGATTCTCTAGAGAGACAAATTAAGAATGTTACCAATGATGAAAATACAGATCACATGTACCGGTTGTGATTGTGTTCCCACGTGTCTATCTCAAGGCTAAGGTCTACACCTTAAATTTCCTGTGATCGTAAACATTGGTCATCTACTGAGAAGACTGTTTGAAACAAGTAGCATTATTTAAATCTGTGTGATACTAAATAATGTTAAATGTATGTTGCGATGATTTGTCACCAGAATTATTGGGACACCGAAGGGTAATTTTGATTCATGTGTCACAACGGGTTTTAAAAAACAGGAAAAACATATCTCGGCATGCGAAAAACTGAGCTAATTTTGGAAAAAATTTTGTAAAGGGGGTCTTGAAGCTCTACACATGACACTAGTATGACACAGAGTCATCATAGGTAATATTCATTTGCTTACATTAATCATGTAATCATACAGAACGTTTTGTCTCAGTTTGCACAAGAGTTGTCTCAGTTTGCACAAGAGTTGTCTGTGTCTGTGGATATTAAAAACATGTGAAAATCCAATTTCATTTTCCACTCACCAGATCAATGGACAACACATCCAAGTGATTAGAATATTTTGAAGTATTATTCAACATAACATCTGTACATGGGTGTACATACACATGTATTTAAATTTATGAAAGATGTTTGTTTTAAAGGTTTTATGAAAAAAGAATGATATCTAAATGCTTGAATGCAACACCAGTCCTTGATTTCATGATTATAATTTTCAAGTGGTGACAAGTGTTATTGAGAAAGGTTATATGCTAAGGAGATGATATTCTCAAAGCCCAAAATCTACTAGAGACGAAAAACATTTCAAGCAAAGTACTTTGTAAAGGTTTAAAAATATATGGACCTTAGCATTGCTGTCTTTTTTTTTTTTTTTGAGGTTAATTACACTCGGATCAAGGTACACAAATGTTGTAGAAATCGGCAAATAACCATGCAGTGGTACTAAGACAGGAAAAGCACTAAGTAGGTGGTTCCTGCATTATGGTGTGGTGGTGCAGTCCAGGGGTCAGGCAAAATATTCAAAATATTCTCAGAGTTAGGTCCAAAATGCATCATTTGGACTTTTATCCTATGAAGTGAGTTCCAGTTCTTGCATGTGCAACTGAATACCATACTTTAGCAGGTTTCTTGGTTAAAATGTTTTTTTTGCCTTGTTCTTGTAAAAGGCTAGGCAGTGTGATTAGATGAGTTAGTGGAAACTGGCAAGGCTTTAACCCTTTCGCTCCCAAGATTTCATTCGTAATTCTCCTGACTGTTTGCCATACAATTTATGTGATGTTAGTGTGGAGAATTTGGAATTAGATCGACCAATAATCCCCAAATTGATATTTTTTTCTATTCTCATAACTTGTCTGCTATATATTGTACTGATAGTGTGAGGAGAAATTCTCTCTAGGTCACTAGTGGGACTTAAAGGATCAAGAATTGGCATCCTGAGGAAAATGGCTGGGAAAATAAAATGTATTTATAGGGAAAGAGAATAAATGACAGCTGTAAGAGAAATTGAAGTGTGAACAACCAAAACATGTTGGTCTGCAGGGTAGCAGCATTGCAGTCAAAATGTTACAATTTTAAATTCACAGCTTGATTCTACAGTTGATAGTGATTTAAAATAATGATGAAACAACTGGAGAAAAAATCCATTGTGATATGTCTTCCCTCTGAAGAGAAAAAATGGCACCTGATAAATTTTAGCCTGCCTTTGTTTTAAGGGGGTGAGTGATGGTCAAAAGGAGAGAAAGGGAACTGTCAAAATTACTCCTTTTCTTTTCCAGCTACTTCCTCCACTGTCAACTTAACCCTTTAACTCCTAAGATTAGATTGTTATTTCTCCTCCCTAGCTGCTACACACTTCCTTGTAAACAAGTTACAAGAATTTAATGTTAGATCAAGCTCACAGCTTATACCTAACAAGTTTGGGTATTCTTATTACCTGTTTGCTGAACAGTGTATGGATGTTGTAGGGAGAAGTTATATTTTACTCACTTGTGGGAGTTAAAGGGTGAAACACAGTTAACTGGATAAATGAGTACAATTCAGGGCGTGAAATTGCGCCTAATACAGGCGCCAATGCGACTAAATTTTTCACTTTGGCGACCAAATCCTGAAAGTTAGTCGCCAAATTGGCGACTACAACGTTTCATCATAACCTTACCAAGGGATATAGTGAATTAAATAAATTTGCAAAGATAAATCCGCGGCAAACTTCCTCGTTAAGTTTGTTTCCAAAACGTAGCACATGCATCTCGATCGATAACTAGACGCCATCTTGGATTTAGATGAGCCTGAAGGTTGTATATCATACATCCTAGTGTCCATTTTGTAGCACGTTAAAGATCTTTTCCCGAACTTAATTTTAGAGGGTCTATCTAGAACGCTGACAGCGTAAAGAAAGATTTTGTTTGTCTTTGAAAATGGCGACCAACTTTTTTTTGAATTGCCTACCACTTTGAAGAATTTAGGAGCCAAGTGGCTATCAGAAAAAAAAGTTAATTTCACGCCCTGTACAAGCTTAAAAAATATAAACTTGCCCTTATAAGACACCTGCATCACAGGCTATATAGATTCTATTATTTATTTCATCTTCTTTGTTAGTTTTTTTTTGTCTTCTTCAACAAAATACTTATGCCTAATCTGAAAGGCTTGAAAAATCTCTTTCTCAAGAAGGCAACCCTTTATTAATCCTTTATTAATCCTTTACACCCAAACATCAGTATGCATATTCTCCATACTGTTCTCGATACATTTCTCTAGGTGCTGATTAGGAGAATTGTTTAAACAATCAAGAGCCCCTTTAATTGTTGATCGTGACTTTAATGAGTGATTCGAGGGTGATATTGTAAGGAGAAATTAGATGCTAGTCACTCTAAGGAGGAATAGGGTTAACAGAATTCTGATCCTTTGACTGGAAATCACCATGACCATGTAGGTAGGAAGGAAACTAAGAGGATCGATTGGGGTAACCTGTTCCTGCAGGGTGAATCTTGGGGTGTTTTCCTTGCTAAGGAATCACTTCCAGGCCAACATTGTCCTGAGTTGGCTGCTAATCCATTGAGTTACCCCACCTTGTAATGTGAGCACAGTCTTAAGTGTCTTGTGTATATAACACAAACACAATGCATGGCTTGAAGCTGGAATAGTTACTCATTTTAATTCGTTTGACGTGCTTGTTGTTAGGGTTTTTGCCTTCTCAAGGTAATTGTAAGTTTGCCCTGTTTGCTGAAAAGAGACAGAATTACTCAGCCAGCTTTTGGAAATCATTCTTTTAAAAAAGATCATTATTTCAGAAGTGTTGGGTTCAAATCTCAATCACCCTTCATTGAGATGCAATTTCTGATCGTTCTTAAATCAAGCCTGTCTTCGGTCATTTCACAATAAATCATTCTTTAATTTGATAAATCCGGGTTATTCGCGCCATATAAATTTTGAAACCTATGTTTCTTTTTTCTTTTGAAACACGAGAGCCTGCTTACAAGCTAGACAGACGGCAGTTAGAGATTTGTTAGAGGCTGCGTTACACTGATAGAACTTTAATTCTTAGGTCACTTTCTCCGCTATTTTATTATTTTTTTGAATGAGGAAAATATCGCTTTGGATAGACGGTAGAAGAATTGATATTATTTCATTTACCACTTTTGCAAAACGATCCTTGAAGATATCGATGAAATACAGAGAGGGTTAAACTGTATAATTCGGACGCGTTTAATTGCGTCTGAAGTTTCCAACGCTGCGGCGTTTGTTGCTATAAGGCCCCGACAAATTATTCAACTGAAACCAAAAACACCTGCACCAGCTTTCTCTCTTATTGGCCCATAGGTGTAAACAAACTTGGTTTGAATTAGTTGAAGCTTGGCATGCGTTTTTGCTCCCTGTGTGACAACCAGCGAAATACACAAGTACTGTTTGCCTACAAATTATCTGCGAGAAAAGCGGGTATCTAGTTTTTTTATTATTAGTAGTAGTAGTAGTAGTACTGCACTGGAAACCGAATTGTAAGACGCTGTGCTCAAGCGGAGAAATTTCTCTGACAACACCGCGCCTTGTTGAAGATTTAATTTGCTTCAGCGCTCAGTTCACGCGTGGATACAAGGTAAACAGTGTCGTTACTTTGGTGGATCATGAATGTATGTTTACCATGTAATCCCGCAAGAAATATTAATTGGGTTTTTGGTAAGATTTTGTAAAATGTCGCGTAAATTGTGTAACTACGAAAAACTTTACCTTTGCAAGTTTAGTGTCGCGACTGTGTGATTCGCAACTTTTTCTTTTTGTTTCAATTGCCCGTACTTTCGCTTTCTGTTCCTAAAAAAGTCTTATAAAATTTGGGTGTGGTAAATTTTAATGCGAAAGAAAATACTGTAAACATCAGAAGTAACAGAATTTTCTCCGATTAAATTTTAGCAAGAATCTATCCACAATTTTATGTATAACAGGCAGATCATTAAGTGATTCGTTTTGTTTGGAACAATATGTGCACGACTTGTTTGGACATTAAATTTGTCATAATTTAATTGGAAATAAGTTTTATAACAAATTCATTTTCCGCTGCCTAAAATAGTTCTTTCATATTTACTCTTAACCTAAATGCCAAATTTTTACTTCTATTATTGAAACGGTGCAGTTGAAAATTTGGACATTTCTTGGAATGCGTTCTCTAATATTGCACAATTTCATTTTTCCCCTAGCTTATTTTTCTGTAATGTGATATTTAAGGAATAGTTTGTGGAATATGAACTCTCGTACAATTTACGAAAGCAATTAACTTTAAAGGGTATTCTCAATTGCAATCCTCAAGTTGAATCCTTCAGAAACTGCGAGGTTTTTCCTCCAGGTACAAAGAAATCGTTTCTTAACTGAATGTTGATTGGGGCGTATTGCAAAATTACGTGACAACTATTCATGTCACCTTCGGCGCTCGTGTCACGCAATCGTTACAATTGTTTTCTCCTCACTGCACGCGTGTGTTTTCTTTTTACGTAACTGAGTAGAAACGAGGCCCTATATTTGTTGTAATGTATCAGTCTATTCAATATACACGGTTTTCTGACAATAATGCAAACAAATTTGTTATTCAGTTATTTGATTGTCATGATCTTCACAGGTAAATAAAGAAGGCTGATAGGAACGATGACGACCACCACTCAACGTCTTGTAGATTACTACCACTGGGCCATTGGTAACGGTGGTAAGTATTATTGACTCCTTGGCTTCCTGCTTAGTTCCCTGCACCCTCCATCTACCAACGGCACCACCCAGCTTCTCACTACCTACCTTCCCACTTCACTATCGTCCCACTAACCCTCTCTACCTAGGGCGTGAAATTGCGCCTAATAGAGGCGCCAATGCGACTAAATTTTTCACTTTGGCGACCAAATCCTGAAAGTTTGTCGCCAAATTGGCGACTACAACGTTTCATCTTAACCTTACCAAGAGATGTAGTGAATTAAAAAGATTTGCAAAGATAAATCCGCGGCAAACTTCCTCGTTAAGTTTGTTTCCAAAATGTAGCACATGCATCTCGATCGATAACTAGACGCCATCTTGGATTTAGATGAGCCTGAACGTTGTATATCATCCATCCTAGTGTCCACTTTGTAGCACGTTAAAGATCTTTTCCCTAACTTAATTTTGGAGGGTCTATCTAGAACGCTGACAGCGTAAAGAAAGATTTTGTTTGTCTTTGAAAATGGCGACCAACTTTTTTTGAATTGGCTACCACTTTGAAGAATTTAGGAGCCAAGTGGCTATCAGAAAAAAAAGTTAATTTCACGCCCTGCTACCTACCTTAATATTGATATCAACGGTTTTCATTTCAGACCCAAAAACTGAGGAATGGCCACTTGTAGCCACACCTTGGCCAACCATCTCTCTAGTGGCGATGTACCTGTTCATCGTGAAGGTCGGACCCAAAATGATGGAGAATAGGAAGGCCTACGAACTACGAGAAATTCTCGTAGTTTACAATTTCGCACTTGTGCTTCTGTCCGGATGGATGATGTATGAAGTGAGTTATTGATCTTGCTAGGTGGTGTATTTCATGGTATGGTACACTATGTCGATTTAAGTCACCATTTTAGGAAGTGTCTCTCAAAAGACGTATTGTACCTGACACCTCTTGCTTGTTTTAATCTGCAGTTCATCGCCGCTGTTATGGATATACCCAATTTCAATCTTCTCTGTGATGCTGTGCCTTACGTACGTGACGATGCAAGACAAAACCGGGTAGGTGATTTAATAATCTAAAATTGCTTAGAATTCTTGAAAATTCAACAGGTAAAAGGATTGCTTTGACTATTTGAAATTTTCGTTTACCTGTCATGCATCAATTAAGGGAGAACACTGTGTTTGGAACAACATGTTACCAGGACGCAAGATCAAATGCAGTAAGTAGTGCTGGTAAATTATAGGTAGCACCTTAACGAACCACTTAGTGGAAGGGAGAAGATAATGAGGTTTAAAAGGATGAAGAAGAGTAAAAGATTCATCCGTGCATAGCGAGTTCCCAGAAAAAATCGTGTAATTGAAGTGGTACGAAGCGGAAGAGTCAGAGAGAACTTGTCTCTAACCATTTTATTCTCTCTTTCTTCTTCCCAGCTGGCTCGAGTTTGCTACGTATATTGGATGTCAAAGTTTGTGGAGTATTTTGACACTGTAAGTGTGCAGTGGGCAGTTATGATCCTGTGTCTTGAATTGATCTAAAGGGAAGGACCTTAAGCAAACTATCACAAAGACGGCGACGAGGACGTGACAAAACAAAAGATCTAATAGGCTAAATAGTAGCTCAGTACGTGCGTTTTAAAACTTTGTTCATCATTAAGTGGAATCACCAAAATTTGTGTGGTCTGAGAACAGAAAATCCTGTCGGCAAGTTATTTAAGTTACCAGTCTGACTCAACGCTACTCACCAACATTATGCTAAAGTTGAGGTGTGTTGCCATAAGAGACGGTAAAAACATGCAGCGATTCGCGAAGTTCTGACGCAAAATATAGATTTCTTTTTCAATCTACGTCTTCCTCGGTGTTCCCTTCATGACTGCTTGACGTGATAACGACGGCCAATGAGAAGAAGGTCGCTGTAACAAGTCGTTACTGGTCTCAGTTTGTAATTTGATTGGTTCAGACGGTGACGCCACTTTACGTGACCACCTAACCCCTGTTTTGGTTTATTACTAATCTCGAAGAATTATACTTAAAAGTAAAAGAATTTTAACCCAATGCGTTCCAAAGCCGTGTCGTATCATGCCTTAGTTTTCCCAATTGATCTTGCGCAACTGCAATAACTTTCTGGTAATGTTTCACATCTGACAGCCAATTATTCAGTTTCTGTGCAGAGGGGCTTACCTAGGTAAGTGTAGTGCGGTGTTCGTCCGCACTGAATCGTGGGAAGGATAACAATTTTGTATTTTTATTTGCAGTTTTTCTTTATTCTCCGCAAGAAGAACAACCAAGTATCATTCCTGCACGTGTATCACCACGCCAGCATGTGTGTGCTCTGGTGGATGGTGTGTAAATGGGTACCCGGTAAGTATATGGGGAGGAGAGGGAGGGGGCAGTTCTTGAGTGTATATTGGTAGGACTTTTTACCTTTTTGTGTTTGAGTGTGAGATGCCCTCATTTGTGGAAATACAAATGACTTCAATTAGTTTTCATCGTGAAGTTCAAGAGAAAAATGCTTGTAGAGTGGGCAAAGTAGAGCTGTACAATCTTGGAAGGAACTTAATTACATTGAAGAAGTTGATTAAAAGGCTGCCTCAACAATTTCAATGAAAGGAAAATTGACTTTGAATGTCCTTCGAGAACAACACAACGACAACAAGAACAACATTGATAACAAGACATGGGAATTTTTTTTGGAAAATTATTCATGGTAGCCTTTAAACTTTAAGTTTCTTTGAAAGTTTGTTCAAACTGACTTTTTCTCTTCTCCCTTTTTTTTCCAGGTGGTGTCTGTAAGTATACTTTCTTTTTTTGAATCCTGAATCGTTTTACCCAAAACTGTCTGTGTTTATAACAAGTTCACCAACGTGATGTTTCTCTTCTTCCTAGCTTACTTCGGTGCCACATGCAATAGCTTTGTTCACGTGATCATGTATGCTTATTATGGTCTGTCTGCGATCGGTCCTCAAATGCGGCCTTACCTTTGGTGGAAGCGTTACATTACCAAGCTTCAACTGGTAAGTAAATTTGTTTCGACTTAGAACTCGTTGTTATAAGTAGTCCACTGTCACTCTGAATGCATGGGGTAAATTTCGATTGGTGGAGAATTATCACGAGGGAATTAAATGATAAGCCATCAAGACTCTGCAAACAGAGGAAAAGTCAAAAATCAAATTGATGACGTCAATCCCCGGAGGACTGTACGACGTCTCTTATTGGTCATCATTCGGGCGTGCGAAGCAACAACCAATCGTGTGCGACATTGAACACATAGAATAAACAAATGCTCTCTTTACTTTTTTCATGGACTGGTATTCGATGGATAACTTTGTCAGAAATGGTCAAAAACCAATTTAGCAATTGTCTTGAGAATTTATTCTTTCCATTTAACTACCAAATAGTGGGATTACTTTAATTGTTTAATCTCTGTATCTTACAACATCCCCTTTCATGCAAGAACCAAAAGGTGGGTGTACCTACCGTGGTGCAGCCGGTCTCCTTGAAGTGTTTTGAGCAGCTGTTCTTGGCTAGGAATCTCGTTAACCTTTTAACTCCCAGAAGTGATTAACATGTAACCTCTCTCTTAAACGTCCACATAATTTTCAGCAAATGCTCAATACTTATGTCAAGTTTTTATCTTGTTCTAACACTAAATTAATGTGACTAATTTGCAAGGAAATTTGTAATATTTATAATTGCAATCAGATCTGGGAAGTTAACAGGTTAAGCTATAACTGTTTACTGATTGCTTTAATATGACCGGTGGAATAACCGTCGACGGTCTTGTTAACACTTGTGCGATGCGCAGGAGAAGGAGCCAACCTCAAAAGCGGAGTTGATTTTCTTCCCTGGCGCGTCTGATCAGTGAAATTAATCCTCAGGGGAGAGAGGCCTAACTTAGCCACGCGGTTTAAGTTCATTATTTTTTGTCAATTATTTTCCAACTTCATATGCAAAAACTTCAGTCGACAATATATCAACAACAGCAGAGGATGATCTTCAAAAGGCCCTGGCATGCACAGCTACATGGGATCAGAACTTGCTAGCGATTATCCCTAATTAAGGATAAAAGTACAAAACATGGTTAACCTTTATTCTGCGCTACCTGCGTGAGTATCGAATATTACGTCGCTTTGCCAGAAGTTAGGCACAAAAAATTCTTGAACTCCTCAAAAAAAACTTCTGCTTATCTCACAAGTGTGAAGAAGCCGTAAAAATTGTTAAGAAAGACTCGTGGGGTTTTTACTTAGAATAAGTTAACTGGAATTAGTGATTAATGTAAAGTTTAATAAAACTCTAACATTATCGGTCCCTTGACTGGTCTCTTATTAACTCATTCACGTTTTAAATTAACTTTAACTTTATACCAGGGTATTGCGGTTTTTTGATTTAAAAAAAAACTTTTAATACAAGTGATAACATCATAAATACCTCGGTGAAATATGATACTCTCGACAAAGGTAATCCATTAATCAGATCATTTGATGTAACTTTCTGAGTCGTCTTTGGGATGGTGTTGGAATTTCTCGACAAGTACAGGTATGCTAAACGGAACTTGTTTTTATCGACGAGCAGCACTCTTTTCATGTTAAGTTTTTAGGTTTGTGAGGATAGTGAGCGAGACGCTAACGTCATTATCTGTGAATACGATGTATGTTTAGTTTCTCAGTCTAGAACTCTTAGAGAAGGAAGTCTTGTTGTGCATACATTCGATCAGAATCATGGGATTTCTTTTTTTTTTTTTTTCAATCATTTCTAAACACGTGCGCGATTTTTCAGTGGGCAGTTTTGATCTTGATAAAAATGTGTTTCCGAACTCAAGCGTTTACTGTGTGTTTGCGCTGCTTTATATTTCTTATTACATCGTAACATATCAATCTGGGAAAAAAATTTGGAAACAGTATATAAAGATTGATTTTGCTATCAAAAGAGTAATCTCGTGATCTCTCGAAACTCAAGGTGACGCCACTCTGTGAATGCTCCAGCGTTATAGCACTGCTTTATATCAAGGCGAATCCCGTACAAATGTATGTGTGGAAGTTTTCGGGAAAATTTCTCTGGACTTATTGCTGTTTAGTTATGTAGGTATTCTGTAAGAGCTAGTTGTAACAACTTTTTCAGATAGATATGTCAGTCAGCTAATGTGACTTCATAGAATGTTCTCTTGATGTAGAAAGAAATCCTAAATTAACAGCGGAGCCCGCATCGCGTGCAGCGAAACTCCATACTTGTCAAAAATTGTATTAATACTAGTAGTTTCCAAGGAGAGTGAGGTACTGAAAAGCAACATACGTTAGTATGGAGAGATAATATGCTTTGGCAGTGAAATACTTGAAAATTACAGTGCCTTTCTTTTTTTCAGTATACGAACAATGTCATGATAGCAAGCTCTATTTATACCAATTTTTATTTTATGAGTCACAACTGCCCAAAATGATTTCATCAGCTTAACGTTTTTCTTAATCTAAAGCTATGTAAATTATTGAAGATTCTATAATCGGTGCATTGTCCTTGGGTAGTCGTTAACAACTGGAATACTTCTGTGAAATGGAAAGGCTTCAAACCTCTGAGGCCAATATTGTTTGCTTCCTTTTTGCTGCTCTTGTTTGCTAAGTTATTTAATACCCGTGGGGGAAATTCTCATAATATTTTCAACTCTCAAACTAAGTTGCAAGTCTCCTTATTTGGCCATATTGTTCAAAATGAAGGGGTATAACACATTTGAGATTTCACAATTTTCCACAAAACAGGATTGTTCCTCGGAGTTTTTTTCAATTGGACATAATTTGTTCCAACTGTTTGCTTTGCAGAGTTTTGTGATTAACCTTGCAATCTTGTGCTAGACACTCAGCCAATCAGGAGCTTTCATTGTTCCCTTGTGATACTTTCCTTTGTTCTGATTAGCCATCGTGATTTCAATAGAAATGTGTGCAATAAGTTTCGTGTAGTGATGGCCTGTTTGTCTCATTCTTATTTTTAGACGCAATTCGCCGTGGTCATAGTGTCTGGCTTTTTTTCCTTGCTGGACCACGGTTGTAAATATCCAACTTGGGCGAAATGGGTCATGGTGTTTTACACCTTCATTATGATGGGATTGTTCATCAACTTTTACATAAAAACCTACCTGCAAAATAGGAGTAATAAAGAGAGCGGCAAAAAGAAAGCGTAGACTGGACTGGCGTGACTGGATACCGGAATGGACGAGCAAATGCGACTCAAATTAATTATTTTTGTATGTAAATTTTGGATATTTAATTTCTTATTTAACGGTGATGGGTTGACAAAATTGAAGAATAATTATCAGGGAAACTGAATGGAAGAAAGACAGAATTTGTTTTAGGCAAACCATTTTACAGTTTTGAAGTCGTAGCAGTAGAAAACCCTATGAATGAACAAAGAATGATATCTTTTACATAAAATATTTTATTATGCGACCCGTACAGCCTCGCACGTGCCTTTAATAAGAAAATTTCGTTAAAAAATCCTCGCAAGAGGGCCGTACGCGGTGGTGCCGTTGAGCAGGGCCGTACAAAACCATACACCCCAGGCAGATGCGAGCTTAAATAATTGGCTCTCGGTCATGACGCACGAACCTGGCTGGGCTCGGACAGTACGTCATGACCATGAGGAAAATATTTTCCCGTTCGACCCCTTAACTCAGTCAATAAGTACGTAGTTACACATTTATTGTACTTCCATACAGTGTAAACGATATTCGTGTTTTTTCGGATAGCAAGGTGTATGTAAAATTAATTTACGATAAGTTTGATGTTTGCAAAAAAAAAAAGTACGAAGCCCCGATATAAAAACGTCTCTCTTTTTTTCTTTCTTTTTACCTTGGAACTTTTATTACCGGAATAACATGCAGAAAACCGGCCTATCCAATTGCAGGAAACGACCAATATTTTCTGAATTTTTTGTCGTTTTTGCTTGCGTTAGTTCTAAAAGCCGATTGTTAGAAGTGTATGAAGTTGAAACGATTGAATAAAGAGGGAAGGTTTCTAAAGAAACTGTGGTGCTGCGTCAGTGGGGAGGTATTGCAAAATATTTGGTTTTATCAACTGAATTGATGGTGTAAATTGGCCACCGTAAAGAGTCTTTCAAGCTGACGTCTCGAGCGGTAGTTCTTCGTCAGAGCACTAATTGTTAAAACTGAATTTGTTTTAAACCTATCGTTCGTTTCATTTAATACAATTTTTTTGTTTTCTTTTGGTAACATCTTAACAGTAGTGGCTCTGTAAGTTATACTGAAAACACTTCTTTCGATAATAAAACTGGTAGCGTGTTTGAACTTTTCAATCTTAATTAAACCATTGTGCACTTTTCCAACACCAATTTTTGGATTTGATGAACATGTAACCTCTCCCTCGTTATTCAGCAACAAGTAATGAGAATACTCAAACTTTTCAGGTAGAAATTATTGTGTTCCAACACCAAATTTCTCATAACTTTTTTAAAATAAATATGCAAATGCAAGATGAAAGAATAAAGAATCAGATCTTCACGAGTTAAAACGCTTTTTCTTATTAGCCATTCAAGATAAAGTCGATGAAAAATGAATGCTAGTAATTCTTTAATGTAATATCGGGGGAAAAATGAAAAAAACTGAGTTGTAAAACTGAGCATTTGATTGACGAAACTCATTAAAATCTTTAATGATTATCAAAAATGACGATGGGAATCCAAAACAACGACAAGTAAACAAAAACAACAAAATAAACGATTTAATCTCGGTATTCGTAGGCCTTCAATACCATGAATAGATTTCGAACTTTTTATCATCGTATTGCAGCAGTAAAATACCGTTGTTATGCAAAAGGAGTTTAAAAAAAATGTAATTAAAAAAATACGCTCGAAACACTTCTCCTCGAGTCAAGGTATCCGTAATTTCTCAGTAACGTCATTTTCTCTGTTGGGAGGAAACTCGTGGTGCCCAAAACGAAACTGACTTATATTTTTTGTTTTGTTTCTTTAAACAGACTCAGTTTGTACTTATTTTGGTAGAGATTTGTGTGGCGTTGCACCTTGATTGCGGCTACAGTCGAAATCTGCTGTATGTATGTGCGGCTTACTCACTCTCCCTGCTTGTGCTGTTTGCCAATTTCTACATTAGATCTTACCTCGACAAAAACAAAAAATCCGAGTGATTAATGTAGTGGATAAGAGTTTTTGTTCTTCCCCCTTCCATTAAATTTTCACTTCTCTGCCGGATGTTTAAAAAAGAACGATTGGCTGCGCAAATCTACTTTGTTTAAATCATTGCTCTCAACTTCATTGCTAAGAACATTTACTAAGCGAAAGGTGTGTTTTGGTGAAACAAAAGCTTCCCTAATATGAAGTCTTTTTGTTTGTCAGTTTGTCTTAGACGCGGTGTTCAAATGATTAAAGTCGACATTCCTTGCAGTATCACGCGCGATAGAGATGTTTGCAGTTATCAGTTTAAGCATTCTCGTGTACAAATATCACAGTCGCGGTAAAGATCATGTATAAAACCCCCCTTTCCTTAATTCCATAGCCACCTTGGTTCCTCCAAGGCTCTGTAACGTCATCCCTTTCGGCTTTTTCTCCACTACCACCGGTACTCTCGCGAGATTCTCCGCACGTTACCTGTTGCACGTCAGGTTCTTTGAATTGTCTTACACGCGAGTTTTATCTACAGACTTAAAAGTTCCAACTACCTTGTGATTATAATGCACAGAGATACTACGTGATTGTACTGCCCAGTAGTTTTCATTTGAATGGTGACACACACTAAGGTTTTATTCACTAGTTTCAAGTTATAAACACCGTTTGTTGACTTATAATATATAAATATACCTCTTTCTTGAAAGATGTCTTTTCATGAAATGCTATCATTAAATGTATATGCATGAATTTTTACAAACATCAAAGACTGAATAAAAAAAATTGAAAAAATTCACCAATTTGTATGTATCCATTTATTGTAGTACAGCCCAGTTCACAGACCAAGCTCCCTGTTTAAAGTATCTCGTCGCAACCAAAGCGTGACAAATTTGTTCTTTCCTGGTTTTGTTTCTCTAACAGACTTAATTTATGCTCATTTTGTTAGAGATCTCTACGGCCCTGTACCTTGATTGTGGCTTTCAGTCGAAACCAGTTGTATCACAATGGCATTTATTTGATCTCTCTGATCGCACTGTTTGCAAACTTTTACATTCAGTCTAACCTGACAAAGAACAAAAAGTCCGAGTAAATAGTGCCCCAGATAGTTGTGTTTAATTTCCTGGTCAGAGCGCGGTGAATCATTTCTTCTATTTTGAAAACCGCTCCAAATTTGTGATTTCTATTAGCAATTGATTGCCGAGCTGATTGCAGAATAAGTAACCACACTTATGTGATAGCATTAGAGAGTGCATTATGCAATGGGCATCATGCATTATGAAGTATGTGATTATAGTAGGTGCATGATAAGTTTAGAGAAAGTTTCAGAGCATGTGGCTTAGTTCTAATTTGAATTAATAACTAAAGTAACAAAATGGCAGCCAAGTATGTTTGGTATGTTGAGAAGTACTCTTAACAATCATGTGATACCAACCTTAAGCATGGTGAAAATAGAATCGTCTTGCATGAAATTTTGGTATGTAGAAGTAGGCAGGTGTGCACATTTGAGATCTACTAGTTTATGTAGGCATGTCGAATTCGTTCCAGAACGTTTCTTTATCAGTCTGATTATGATATGTAGCCAAGCCAAAGAATCGCTATCAGATGAATTTCATTTTCAAAATGATGTGCAATTTTTTCATGATAATCTCGTAATCGCTCGTTTCATGGTAAGATTTCGATGCCATTGAAATTTTGGAAGTCCTGAAAAAACTTTGCAGTCAATATAACTATTGCATTGCAACATTAGGGGGAATATTGTGTGATTCTCAGTAGAAACAAGACTTCACGGTCATTGCATATAGACCGTTTATACGACAGTATAGGGACATAGGGACATAACAAATGAATATAAATTTAATGAAAAACTACAAAAAAATGTAGTGCTCAGTCGCTTTCAATTAAAAGGTCTAAATCTATGATTTTATATACATACTTGATCGTTTTTACCACCTTACACATAAAAAGTAACTTAAAGTACCACTCGAAAGTAGTGCTCAGTCGTACTACAGTATAGGGGCATAGGGACATAACAAATGAATGTAAATTTAAAGAAAAATTACATAAAAATGTAGTGCTCAGTCGCTTTTAATTTAAAGGTCTAAATCTATGATTTTATATACCTGATCGTTTTTACCACCTTACACCTAAAAATTAACTTAAAGTACCGCATGAATGTAGTGCTCAGGCGCTTTCAATTAAATGGTCAAACTCTATGATTTCATATAAATACCTGAACGTTTTTTACCACCTTACACATAAAGTACCATTTGAAAGTACTGCTCGGTCGCTTTCAATTGACTCTATCGTTTTTTTCTACATGCTACATTCTGTAGCATGTACTGTACTGTAGAGCTCAGTAAGAACTGTCAAAAATAGCTGAATTGATCTCCAAATGCCTTAAGGAATCGTGCCTGACGATCGACGCATTTGATTTTTCGCAAATTTTCTAGTCTTGTTGTGGGGGACCAATGTTTCATTCCTAATCAAGATATTTCTCCTTTTCGTTTTAGATCCAATTCTTGTGCGTTATCTTACACACAACCAATGCTATTCAAATAAATTGTGGATTCCCACATGGTCCTCTGTGGTTACAGTCTGGCTACATGTGCTCTCTTTTTGCCTTCTTCATCAACTTTTACAACAAAGCTTACGTAGCAAGTAAAAAAGAAGATTGAAACTTAGACTTTGTAACTCTACCGTAACTGCATTTAAGCCCTGGGTTTAACTTCGTAAGAAGTTTTTACTACATTTCGCATCTGTGCCGTTTATTATAACCTTTTTTCATGGAAAATATATTAGAAGGTTATATTTAAACGAAGTTAAGAAGGTATTTTAGTTATTTAAGAAGGTTACTAGGTATCGAGTGTAGAAGAATATATATTTGAACATATATATGTTAGTTTTTCACAGTGAATTTATTGATCAGTTGAATCTGTATTTTTATGGATCTTTAATTCAGTTATCAAATTACATTTACAATTGGGCAGTGCTCTTGTGAAAATGTCAAATCACATGATTACTGATGGAAAGAGATCGACAAACCTACATTTAATTATTGAGTATTGAACCGAGAATGTTACAAAAGTAAGTTATTTTAAGTTATTAATGTTATTTTCGTATAATTACTCTTAATTTATTTTTTTATTATGATTTTATATAGATGTTATTTCCGCAAAATTACTGATAAAATTTATTAGTACATACTAAAGCAGTGGATAGCGTTGGAGGTGCACACTGAATGGCTTCTCAAACTCCGAACATCCTTTGCGATCCACCTCCAAGCTACGCTCGTGAGATTTGCGCCCGACAATAATGTAAGCTTTGCGGGAGTAAACAAGTTAAAATCATCTTTTTTGTGCTATGTTATCTCACTATTTTAGCACATACTAAAACAAGCATTCACCTCAATGTCAGGGGCTAGCGGTGCACGTCCACCTCTAGCTGCCTCCACTTCAGTAAATAGTTGCTTGTTATTTAATATATGATTTAAAGTATTCTCATTTACTTTTTGTAAAGAACAAATACAACAGTTATAAATTGATAAATGTTATTTTTGTGTATCGGCAGTTATTATATCATTTGGAAAAAATATTAAGTTTATTATGGAAGTACACATCCCAATTGTCTTCTTTCGTCTAGGACTGCTATTTGGGCGTTAAGTTATGACTGTCTCTCAAACATCTCTTGGGGTAAAGTCCGCCGAATTCTTTAGAGCGACATTAAAAGTCTGAAATAAACCAAGTAGAGCGCTTAGATATGGGTGAAACTGTTTGATACGGTTAGTTTTCAAAGTTCGGAAAGTAACGAATAAGCCAAAATATACGAGTACGCTCCTGGTATTTCTTTCAAATCTTACCCCAACAGTACCATCATAAATTACGCTCCACAAATTAACTTTGACATCGTTTCTACAAATTTATACATTTATTGATTGTTATTCCTTCGTTTTGTAAAAGTGCACAGTTGACTTCCGGCTATGGTCTCCTCTCGGACTTGTTCAATTGTCCCATGATAGCATTATTTGCTTCTATTTTCGTAATGAAAACGCTGATAATCAGGCCCATGTACTTTAAGTTGGCACGTATTTTTGAGGGAAGAGTCGGTTTTAGATGGTTGAATGCTTTTTATTTTCCAGGAGAGCAAACGTGTTTTTCGGGGAGGAACAATTATTATGGAAATGAACGCTTGGTACTCTTTGAGAGGGTCTTACAGTGTTCAAAAACCATGCTTTCCTTAAATATATTTCTAAAATCAACGTTTTTTTAGGTCTGTAACATTCGACAATACTCCTGTATTGGTGAAACTAAATGGTCGTGTTCCACTATTCACCAAAGCCTTTGGGGGCCTTCCCTTCCCTTTGAGTTCCTAGTTGAAAAGTTGTTTATTTTTTATAACAACTGACTGACTGCTTGACCGGCTGATCAACTGACTGATTGACTGACTACCTGGATGACTGACTGACTGACTGACTACTTGACTGATTACCTACTTGTTTGTTTATGAATTCATTTATTTGCTCATATATTTATACATCTGTCTATTTATCACTTTATTTGACAGCTTCAGTTCGTTTTCATTGTGATTCACGCGACCGCCGCTTTGTGCATAGACTGTGGCTTTAGCGCGAAACTGTTGTGGACCCAGTGGTTGTACTGCATCAGTTTGATTTTGCTGTTTTCAAACTTCTACCTTCATGCCTACCTCAGCAAAAAGAAGAAATCAGAATAAAGGAAACACACAAATCGTATGATTTTCTTCTGTGTTCTCCTCACTTTTTCAGTACATCCTCAATGACTATTTCTTAACGTAGGCCTTTATCTTCCACAAGTTATTAGCGTGTAATTTCTTCCCACAGTTTTCGCAGTGCACAAGCAATAGCGAACATTTGTAGAACGTAGAAAGTCCATTTATTAAGAGGGTCTCATTGATGGAGC